CAGATTTCAGGATCGCAGCTTCGCGCTGAGATTTCGCGATTGTGATCGCATTCCTAGGTTCATACATGATAGATTTAATAGAATAGGTTCGTACACGAGAGAGAGATTTAATTTTATTTAATTTATTTAATTTATTTAATTTAATCTCTATTCAATTCGATCTATTTATCTTATCTATTATTTGTCTGCGAAATAAAAGTTACATTTATTTTCATCCTCTTGACAGATGATTGCGTTCATTTCACGAGGACGTAACAAATCTGAGGACCACTGAGGCGCAGTTATATTTGCACTATAATCGCACAGTAGCGCTTATACCTTTGCGAGTCCATTGCATAAAAGATTCGGCCTAATTTTTCACATCCAGAATAATATTTTACTTGACACACGCGCAGCGCGCGGCGACCGCGCAGCGCGCGCGTGTGCGCGTAAGATTGCGGCAAATTTTATTGACGAGCAAGAGAGTGTCCTATTTGTACCTTCGCCTTTCGGCTTTCGATGTGTCGCGATTGTGTAACGGAGATTAAAAGTATTCTTACTCAATGTTGAAAACAGTTGTTAGTGAGCTCTAAATTAAAGAAAACAGCAAAAAAAAACGAGAAAAAAAGAAAAAGGGAGAGAAAACGGAAAAAGAAGAAAAAAAGAGGGTAAAGCGGAAGAGAAGTGATATATCTAGAAGTAAGTCGCGCGCGGCTAATCACGATTCACGAAACTCGAGACGAATTCCTCTTGACCGCTTTACCACCAGTCGTATGAAACAAATCGCCGACAATCTCTCCCGATCACGACGCGAGAGTCCGAGAGAGAGAGAGAGAGAGAGAGAGAGAGAGAGAGAGAGAGAGAGAGAGAGAGAGAGAGAGAGAGAGAGAAAGCATACGAGCGGAGGATCAGCCGAGCTCTCGAGGAGACAGCGATCTTAAGCTCGATCGAAAGATCGAGACTCGCGTATCATGTCTCTTGGATGCTCGCGTTGTCGTCCGGGTTTCTTCCGGCCGCCATTCAGAAGCTATCATCGTCACCGGTTGTTCACCATCGTGCATCGCGTACGCCATCGGACAACGCTGACGATGACGATGGAAGGAGAGTAGCTGTGCAGCAGCAGCCCCCGCATGTTTCTCGATGCAACACTCCAAACTCGTCCTGTCGCGAAGCTTTCCACCTTGTAGAATTCCGTTTTCGCTTAGATATGTGTATATGTACGTATCGTTAGCGCTTGTGCGCCACTTTGTTCACGCCGATTGTCACTGCTCCACGCCGATCCGCTCGATCGATTCTGATCAATGCGGTTGTGCTTTTGTTTTCATTCCTCCGCGAAGACTGCGAGCCGTGGCTCGATATTGTGGAACGCGAGGACGATTTCGAAGGACTAAATAAGTTTCAGTCGTGGGAACTTTTCGAGTCGATCAGCGATTCTCAGATTTTAGAATCGCAGCTTTGCGGTGAGATTTCGCGATTGCGATCATTCTTAGGTTCATTCACGATTTAATAGAATAGGTTCGTTCGTATACGAGAGGTTTAATTTAATTTAAAATAGATTCGTATATGAGAGATTTAATTTTATTTAATTTATTTAATTCATTTAATTTAATCTATTCAATTCGATTCAAGTCTTTTGTGTCATCGTGAGGGTGTTGCAAATATAATTATATATATATATATATATATTATATATATAATTATGCCGTCTAAATAATTATATGTTATATATTATATAATTTTATATATATATATATATGTATAATTATATCATAAATAATATATAATATCTTTATTTATATGATTTATGCACATTACATTATGTTGTACGTCGCTTTGCTCGAATTTACAGATTGCCGTAAAGTAAAACAGTTTTCCAGTCGAATCCTGCTTACAGACGCCATTGAACGAGCGCGACTGCGGCTCGAATTAGAAACGAGGAACGCTGTCTCGACATCACGTTTGTTTTACGGAAGCGTGGAGTTAACGTAACGGTCACAAGTCATTACGCTAAATATCTGGTAATAGATCATAAGACATCATTGCATAATCTTAAATGTACTTAATATCTCGATATATCACAGATCCTCCTTCCTTTCGTCCGGACGATAAAAATAGGATGAGCGGCTCGGTGTGAGCAACGTCACTATCGGCACGGACACGCACACGCGGCTTTTCGCGGCCGCTTAGGGAAACGTCGAAGAAGCCTCGCACCTCGCAAGCTTTCACACTGCCCGTCCGAATGTAGAAGCCGACTTGTCCTGTGATTTCCCCGAGACGTCACATCGTCGCGCGGTATATTCGACGCGCTCACGCAGAACGAGACCGAGCAAGGCGTTTCTCCGGTTTCTCGAGAAACGACTCAGACGAACGCGGGACTGAAAGCTCCGCAAGCACATCGCTCATGTCTGATCAGTCTTCGTTAACGCGAGGAAATCGTCGAGGTTGACGCACAGCGTCCCGTAGAAATCTAACGGTTACAGAGAATTGATTTGCGAGGTATTCGAGATGCGTTCTGCAAGCAACGACACACCGCTGACTACATTATTATACGAGTTTTGGCCAATCGTCGTCGACTGATTTTTCGCCCTACCCGTAATATTAGTCAAATAATCGCGTGTCGATCACGACGTGAGAGCGAACGTGCAATCGGCGTAATGGTCATTGTAATAATAACTAGGTAGTCACGAATAAACAACGGAGATGTCATTCGTTAGAGACGAGAAAGCTGTTGCGCGAATTTGCATTGTACCGGCCGGTATTCGGAGCACGAGCGGAGCAAAATGGCGGGATCGACGCCGTCGAGCGAAAGCGTACCAGGCTACCGAGAACTTGGAGAAAGAGAGAGAGAGAGAGAGAGAGAGAGAGAGAGAGAGAGAGAGAGAGAGAGAGAGAGAGAGAGAGAGAGGGAGAGACAGGTAAGAAGAAGAAGCGAATAAAGACAAAAATGAAGAGGCGCAAGAGGCGAATGATCATGGACGACGACGATGACGAGAACGAGCCAGGGCACTGAAGCGAGAAGTTGCAGCCGCAGAAGAACAGCAAGCAAGCGCGAAGCAACGCGGAGGAGGCCACACTTGGACCCGACAGAGTTCATCAGCCAGTCATACCTCGTTAAAAACGCATTGTAGACACATACGACAAGAGGATTTATAACGACACGCGACGTACCAACACTGCGGTCGATCGATAGACGCCGTCTAACGTAGTGAACAGGTTGTTACATCATTAACGCGTTCGCTGGCAGCGTGACGCGTTGCGTAAAACACCCGATTCGCCTGTCGAGTACATTTTGCGTGTAAATTATTTCACGCGTGCAGACACGCATCATGTATCAAATACATCCGCTGAAAAATAGCGCAGAAAATAGGGACTTTTTGCAATACCGTCTCTCAGATACGGTAAGCGTAAATCGTGAACATTATTCGCTCAGAAATAACGTCGCAATGTACGCGACCAATAGCATTCACGATTTATGTTTACCGTATCTGAGAGACAGTATTGCAAAAACTCCCCAATATCGTCTCTCAGATACGGCAAACGTAAATCGTGAACGTTATTCGTTCAGAAATAACGTCGCAATGTACGCGATCAATAGGAGGGAGTTTTTGCTATACCGTCTCTGGGATACGGCAAACGTAAATCGTGAACGTTATTCGCCGAGAAATAACGTTATGATGTACGCGACCAATAGCGTTGATTCACGATCAATGTTTACCGTATCTGAGAGACGGTACTGCAAAAACTCCCCAATAGCATTCACGATCAACGTTTAGCGTGTCTGAGAGACGGTATTGCAAAAACCTATTAAGCTATAATGAGCGATTCTCAATTTTGGGCACGGCGTGGCGAGCGTGTTAATTAGCCTCTCATTTGGCTCATTTCGCGGTGAGACTTTTTGATGATGACACACGCGACGAAGAATGATACGGATGACAAGGTGTTACCGTTCACAAGAGAGCTTAGATCGATAAGAGGCGGGTTTTTTTTGTCACACAATACAAGGATCACACACATATACATACACACACACACACACGCACACACATGTAACACGCATACTTTGTAAAAATATTTCACGCGAGACTCCTGTACGAGCGTCACGCTGACGATACAACGAAAGCGCCGCGAATTATTTTTATCTACATATGCACAGCCACATTAAGCTCGTGTCAGACTAGGAGCTGGAGATTGCGGATGACAGATTGAAGATCAGAAGTTGACGGATGGGTCGGACCCGAGCGAGTGTCCGGAATGAAACATGTCGAATTCTGGTCTCTGATCGGCGCGATCGTCAATCTCCAGTACCGAGTCTGACAAGACTTTGCATTCGGATGTGAGTTATACGTATCCTCGACACGATGAATCTCTTTTCTTTTCTTTTCTCCCTCCCCCCCTCTCTCTTTCTCTCTCTCTTTCTCTTCCTCGCAGATGTTTCTCAAAGTAAAAGCAATTAATTATCGCTGAATTACGCTCGACGATCGTGAAATACGAGAGGGAATATCCGCGCGGTGACGCCGTTGTGTGTTCTCGTGCGAAGCCGGACAGCACAAATTTCTGCGAAACGTCCCAGAGACATCGAAGTAGAAAAAGAAGATATCTTTGAGACGTCTTTGGAAAGCTCTCTTTCGGAAATTTGCGCCGTCCGAGAAGAATCGGTGTGTACGCACGATCGATCGTCCCTGATATCGTTCGCGCATTATGACGATGATTAACGCGCTTATTATCCACTCTCGGTCGGAGAAAAAAGGGTTCCGCGTGTACCGCTGCTGCTGCTGCTGCTGTTGCTACTGCTGCTGCATATCGATACGACGAAGGGCCGCAAACATCGCGCAACATCGCTTCGATTCGATTTACTGCCAAATCGTGACGCTCCAAATTGTACACGTTTTACGATATCATGTCGAGCCTAGATATATACATATATACGTACACATACATACACATAATATAATATATAAACCATAAAGAGCAAGGCAAAGGAAAAGAGATCCACACAATTTTCTCTCCGTCTGTCTGTCGATTTGTCGCGAAGGACTCGGACTCCTCCGAAAAAAAATAGCCGCGCAGACACCCTCCGATCGCGAGCCCGGCCTTAAGGACGACGAATGATCGGCGACTGAAGACAAAGGGAGCCTCACCACGAGAGAGTCTCTTACCCCGTGTACAACTTATTATTAGCCTCTCGCGTCTCGTCCGATCCGCCGCGAGTTCGATTTCGCGGTGAAAAGAAAAAAAGGACACATAAAAGGGGAAATACAAGCGAAGAGAAAAAGAGGAAAAAAAGAAGATAATAAGATCGGGACACTAACGAGAGGTGTACGTAATGAGCGTTACGTAACACTACGGTACTTTTGCGCGTTCCCGATTCTCACCCCGTCCCTCCCTCCATCCACCACCCACCCACCCGTCCTGCAGCTCGTTCCTATTCTCCCGTCATCCTCATTAATTCCGAATCCTGAACGTTGCGTTTGTATACCCTCCGGATCGCATCATAGAGGCGGGTCATTTATTACAATAATTGCAGAGATTATTATGGCTATATATATATTATATATATATATATAAATATATATTATATATATTAGAAGAATATTGAGATACTCTCGTAATAAAGAACACGCCGACGCTTCCTGTGACCCCTGGATTATTTCAATCGTTCCACCACGTGCGTGCCTCCCGCGTTTGAGTTGCGGCCATACGATAGCAACCAACAACAACAACACAACGATCGCTACGTCGCGCCGGTGACTTCTCCCACACCCTCTTGCCCCCTGCGCTCTTGCATAACGATGATGAAGCGGAGGGGACGAGAGGCGTTGCAACAAACGACAGCGTTATGCATTAGCGCGTAAAAAGTCTCGTTGTTATTTCAAATTTAGGGGCTGCATTCCGTACACGTTTATCGCAAACTATCGGTCGAGATGTGACTGATATTCGTTGGTATGTGTGTACAGAACAATGGCCCAGGATCGCTCTCACGTATACTGACACACAATATACACACATATACATCATCATATACACACACACACACATATACAAAACATACACACACACACACACACACAGTGTCACCAAAGAGAGAATTTGTCCTAAGCTGCGCAATAGGAAAGGAAACATAGAAGTTTTACTGTGCATTCATTTCATTCAGGTTGTATTTATTCCAGTGAGCCACACGAGCGATCAAGCGACCTTTGTCCCCAGTGTAACACGCGCACCAATCGATTTTCATGTCCAGGCAATGTTATTATATACAATTAACGGCGTATGAGATGCATAATAAAAAGAACTTTACACATCATACGGCATTGAGTTGTACGAGCGACTCGTCGGTGCTCCAATCCTAATTGCTACTCAGTCATTGAACAGATGTGCTACTGCCCTGCAGGAGGTACTAATAAAGAGGTCCATCGTCTTGATTTTCCTCTTCGTCGTCGAAACCCTCACCGTTGTCGAAGTAATTATTTACGTAATCGGTACCATCGTCCATTTCCTCGTCTATTTCGTACTCTTCCATCTCCTCGTCTGAGTTTTCCTCATCCTCCTCTTCCTCTTCTTTAATCTCCTTCTCTATGTTATCTTGTGCCTGCTTTGTGTTCTTCTGCTGCTTCGGCTTTTCTTCAGTACCTTGTTTGTTGTCGTCGTCGTCATCATCGTCTATGACTCTTGGCCTCTTTCTCTTTGTGTTTGTTTTCATCTTCTGATTATTTCCTGCCTTTAGGCTGCTGGTAGCTTTACGCTTCAACGATGGTGCTAATTCTTCTGGCATTCTGCTCCAATCATACTTGGGCTTCTGCTCTGAATTATCCAATACATCTTGATAATGATCGGAATATCGTTCAATGTCCTTCTTCATTACTTCTGGCGTTATATTATTCAATGAATCTCGCATGTATTCAGCAAAATCCCTTTTCAACTCTACTAAATAATTAATCTCATTAGTAGATTCAAAGTTTGAAACGTGAAGATCCAGCATAGGATAAGGTAGTGGAGGTTGTAAAACTTGAGGTGGTAATTCCCCTTTATTAACACCTAACTGTTCAGTGTTGAAGGACATAGTAGGTTTTCCTCTGCCGCGTCCTGCCATTGTTTCTAAGTATTTTGTGTCCTAAATGGTCTAAAAATAATAGACGACTATTGATAATCAATTATCGTTTGACATATCAAGTGGTCCTAAAGCTTTATGATTTTTCAACTTATTGGTACGAGCATTTTTCTAAACATGGCATTACTTACTTTTTAACTTTCTTGTGCTACTAATTCCTTTTCCTCGTTCTTTGCGAATTCCTCCTGTTTCGAGACAAAGGTTTCCTTGTCGTAGATCACTTTAACTACCAAGGAGCATGAGGGACACGTGGCTTCTTCTTCGCCTGCGATCAAGTCAGCTTTTGATATTTGGAACTGATCACCGCAAGGACATGGGTAATAATAAACCTCCTCATCCTCGTCGTATTCGAAATCTTCGATTTCCACTTCGTCGTGATAAATTGACATAATGTTTGAGTAAACTCGAATATTTTAAACCGATTATTCGTTTATATACAACAACGTCATGTGGCGTATTTTTGAGGTTAGGGCAATATGTATACAAACAGCAGAAGCAGTAGCATTTTTCAAAATAAGTAATAATGCTCCGAAATTAGTTTTGGAAGCTTTGGTTTTGATTATAAGATTGGTAAAATGATATTTAATGATAAAATGATTTTTAAACTAACTTATATATACTCCGTAATTGATCAGTTGATCACTGCTAATTGTAAGAAAACCTCCTATTTGAAAGAAAAATATAAAGGGTCTAGCAGAAGGCATTTATTAGACCTGTTATTTCTAATAAGGGGTCTGACTTAATAATAAGGGGTAAATAATAAGGGGTCTGAGCAAGGTTTGATGCTATTAGGCCGGTATTCATAGTCGGATCTTACATTTAAGACTGTCTATGGTTGATCTTCAGATGCTGTACAAATCATTTCATTGGCTACGGAGTATCGAAAGTGAACTTAAGATAGTCTTCAATATAAGACCCGACTATGAATATCGGCCTTAGACCCGTTCTTTTGATCAGTTCTAAACAGAGAGGAACTTGAGAGCGGCCAACACGGCGTTTTCGGCGACACCGACTTTCCGCACTGGGAAAGGGCGCCATCTGCATCCATTTCGAGAGGGGAATTACGATGCTACTTTCAGGTTTCGGCGGTAAAACCTGCATGTGGTAGCAGTCCGTGCTACATCCATTTTCAGGCGGTTTACAACCATAATAGCGTACTTGACAAGCACGGTCTCGCACATTGTTACGCGTTTATAACATGAATTAACATGTTAACATGTGCAAAAAAGAAAGAACTGACATTGTGTTCATGATTAATATCATGAAGATCATACGAAGTGTCCGGTAATTATAAGCTGCCAACTCAAAGTGTGAAGATAGATTGGGTTGAGACAAACATAAAAGTCCCATACCATTTTGCAAGATTCGCAATAATTATCGAGTTATATAATGACAGAAATCTGACGAGTAGGAGCGCGCCGACATAAATGATTGGAGAAACGTTGCAGCTGCTCAGGGCAGCGATTATGAATCTTTTCCCTAGCGTGAACTAGTGAAAAGTCAAGGACTTCTGAATTAATGAAAAATGAAAAATTTTATATGAATTTGTGAAAATCGAAACATTTCACACGACAATTGAGTCGTTCAGCATGGCAGTTGCGTTTTGGATAATTCTTAGTAATTACCAAAGAAATCAAAATGATCAAAATAATAATGTCCGTGTAGTCCGAAGGATATTACGTGACACGTAAAATCCGTTTGATATAATATCCAAAGCAAATGTTTCAAAATATATATGTACGTATCGCAAGATATCAAAGACTATTAATACAGAAAACAGGCCGAATATATGTATGTGTGTATGTCTCTTAGGATTGCGAGACGTGAGAAAATTTAGAATAATTTTTATTTTATAAATATATACACACGTTGGCATTCCTTAAGTTAATAATTCGAAGTTGAAATAATACTAAAATTGCAATCGGAAGCATATGTACAGAGTGTTTCACAAATTCCTCGCTCCTAGGAATTCACGAAGATATAGAACGGATTAAGATAAATATAAAAGTCCCATATCATTTTGCGATGTACGCAACAACCGAGCTGCTATTAATTACAGAAATGTAATGAATGAGCACGCGCCGAGATGGTATCGAAAAAGTAACGAAAAAGTAACGAAAAGTATCGAAAAAGTAAGCTACTCGAGCCAAGCGCGCGGCCTACATGATCTAACGACAGTTGCATGCACAAGAAGAAGAAGAAGAAGAAGAAGAAGGACAAACCGCCGACGAAATAAAACACGAGTAACGGTGAGGCACCCGGGTGAAAGAGACGGAGCTAGGCGATAGAACGACGGCTGACGAGAAATATAATCTAATCGGAAATTTCAAAGTAGTACTCGCTAAATATCCGTGAGCGTGTAATTAGCTCAAGCTTTCTTTACACGATTCTTGCGAGATTCGAAACGACAAAACTCGCCCCCCAAAAGAAAGCCTCAGTCAATCGCACGATCGTATGCGTATCATCAACCCCTGCTTCAATTTCCCACCCTCGATAGAGTCTCAACGCACGATCAAGCGCGAGTTATGAAGATCCAATTTCCGCGAAGAAACTAGTCGGGGTACGTTCGTAGCCGCGGTGGAATTTAACGCTCGCGTTCGCAAGGGCCTAACCTAACATTCTACTCGCGAAGGGACGCCATCGCCCCTCTTTTCACAATGGTGCGGATGTTTCCTTTCTTCCTTATTTTCCGCGACAACGATACCGCGACGAGGCCCTTACGAGGCAAGTTCGCTGATAATCAGCGTTTATGTCAAAAGCGCTTCTCGGGAACATTCCGCTCGAAGGGTTAGTCCGCGATAAAAAGTTTCCTGCGACCGGAGTGGCCGCTGTGGTTTAAAGTTAAATTGCAGCAAGAATATTGTTCTCGGGCAACCCTGAGACGGGCTGCTGTCATCCGTCCGTGACGTCTGCGGCGCGCCTTTGCGATTATCGGTAAATTCAGTTTTCTCGATTGTTCGCGTGATTTCAAGTGGCCATAATATATGGCGATAATACATGGCAATATGTAGCAATAATATATGGCAACAATATACGGCAACAATATATGGCAACAATATATGGCAATAATTCATAGAATATATTTCTCGTTATAGAAGTCAATGCAAATTTGCGGCATGCACAATGTAATAATAAAAGAGCTCTCTGCGAGCATTGAGTCAAACGCTCACCGATGATGATATTTTGATGATGTCCCGTTGCATCCAACCAGATTCACCAATGTCCGCACATGTCCGCTGCCGCTCTCCATGTCGCGCAGCATCCATCTTGCAGTGCGTCCCACGTTGATTGCTACACTTTCGCGACGCGGTTGATACTTATATTAGAGCTGCGATTTATTTGCGTCAATTAACGAACGTTTTACGTCGACATCGGTGTAAACTTTTTACGAGCTGCGAAACGGATTTTAAATAAACTCGATCGGCGAGGAGCAAGAACCGTGTGAAAATTTATCGACTTGCTCAAAGGGTTTTGACGGCGCTTTTCGCGATCGCGTCTGAAAAGTCGCGAAAATGCGGGAGTATCGATATCTACGAGCGAAATATTCGCGAATGCATACGAGGAAAGATTAGACAATCAGAAACCGGTCACCCCGAGGGAGCGCAAAGAGAGAGCGGGGCAGTTTTCACGCATGATAGTTCCGTCACGACGAAGCTTACGTTCGCGATACTTTGGCGAAATGAGAATTTAAGCTTTCTCTGTTAGCAGCGCGGATAAAAACGCGTATATTGATAACCGCGGTCGCGATATTCAAAGGCACGCGAGCGAGGATACCTCAAGCTCGGCGTGCGCTGGCGCAATTTCTGCGCGCATTATACGCTACTCGAGACAATAGGGATCGTGATGAATGGACAATATTGCCAAATAATTCTACAGCCTGTTTTGCAAATAAAAGAAACGTAGCCAACGGTATCGGCATTTATACGTATGAATATATTTTGAACACGGACAATTGAATATTGTCAAATAATTGTCGTTAAAGTAATTCTGTGATCCGCTTGAAAAATGAAAATAAAGCAGCTAATGACGATAATATCGCGTTTGTAGAACATGAATATCTCTTATTCAGATGACTGAACATCAAAAGAGAATCGTTCGGTATTTTAAATCTCGTATATAATGCAGGCTATCGATCAAGTAATCCCTTGATTGTTTCGAGCAATGTATTTTATTCAACGTCACAAATACACACATGCAAGAATCTATTTGCAATTCGCATTGACTCGAACGATATTTTATCTCCCATAGTCCCACACCCGTCATGCGGAATTTTGTTTATCTTTTCATTTTGCATTTACTCACCGAAACGACTTGCAGTCAGAGCCGGCCACGTTCCGCTTCAACTCTGTAACAAAAAATTCACATTCGCTCGTCAGATCAACAGACCAACAAGTGCGGGCGAGTAGTTAACCCTCTGCGAGTAGTTAACCCTCTGCGATCGTAATTCAAGTCGAGCTGGAAATTATATCCCAGCTCTAGATCGCCGAGAGTCAGAGGACTATAGTAAACTTGTAAACTTACCTTCAAGCCGACTCTGCTTGGCCCGAACCGGATCCTCCGGTGCGGCATTCGCGTCCGCCGGATTGCTGTTGCTTTCCGCAACAACTGAAACAAAAATAATTTTTCCGGTTGGTAACCTGCGGTAGAGAGAGAATATCTTTGATCGGGACGAATCGAAAATACCGATATATTTTGATACGGAATTTTTATCTGCATATTTTTGTTCTAACATTGAGAATTTTAATGGGACTTGAAGCTTTCAAGAGAGCAGATGAGGAGCAAGTTACAAAGGCAAAGATCGTAAAGGGTTGAACACAGATGTGTAGGAAACTTGTAAACATTACCTTCCGGCCGACTCTGTTTGGCCCGAACCGGATCCTCCGGTACGGCATCCGCATTTGCCGGATTGTTGTTGCTTTCCGCAGCAACTGAAACAGAAAAGTAGTTTTCCCAGTTGATAATCTGCGGTAGAGAGAATATCTTTGATCGAGACGAATAAAAAATACAGAAATATTTTGATATGGCATTTTTATCTTTATATTTTTGTTCCAACATTGAAAATTTAAATGAGACATGAAACTTTCAAGAGAGCTGATGAGGAACAAGTTGCAAAGGCAAAGATGGTAAAGTATTGAACACAGATGTGTTCAATACTTTACCAGGAAACTTTACAAGGAAACTTGTAAACCTTACCTTCCGGCCGACCCTGCTCTGCCCGAACCGGATCCTCCGGTGCAGCATCCGCCGGACTTGCTTCCCGCAACGTCTGGAACAAAAATGTAGCGTTCTTGGTTGGTAAGCTGCGGTAGAGAAAGAATGTTTGGTCGGGATGAGTGGAGAATATTCGCTACGATTTTTTTTCTTCATTGACATTGAAAGTCTAGATAGGAGCTCTTGAAAGAGCTGACGAAAAAAACATGACAACAAGAAGCAGAGACAACAGTTGTGTGCTCTCGAAAATACTCTTTTACGAATGGACATTTAAATGTAGATTCCGTAACGGGAGTAAACAGACTTGAAAGAAGCGCTGACCGAAAACAAAAAAGGTCGCAGTCTAAGAAGAAGGTATGACGTTGAATATTCTGCACAAAACCGGTATACTCATCATACAGTTGGGAATTATTCAGAATGTTTGAGTGAGAACATGATAAATTGGAGATCAAGGTTCATAGACCGTTATCCGTCTCTGTCTGGATCAATATCTTTTGTATACAACAACGCAATAAATAAATAGACAGACAGAGATTGACGAGAGTAATTGCAGATTCATAAAGTCATGATTACTAATCGGATGATGACGGATCGTGAATGCCGAGCGCGAAATTCCGACTTCTTATTCCCGGAAAATTCGTCAAACGTCCGCTCTTGTTATCGGAGACCTCTCACATAATAAATGATTTCACATACCTGGAAACGTGACTGGTATCGCTGCCGGCGTCCTGCTTCCCGGCTGCTGGAGTCCTCCGGATTTCACTCACTCACGCCGATTCTAATGCCGATACTCGCGATTCGACTGTGCGATTAATCAACGCGATGCCGACGCGATGCTGATTGAGTATCTCGAGGACCGACGAGATACTTTTCTTTCAATTACACGAGACGGAAGTGACGAGCGCGTCGCGCACGGCTGCTGCTGATGGAATGAGGTCGGGTAAGCGAGACGCGCGAGTACTAATACGAAGGGCAAAAAGTGTCGTCGTTCGCGAGCCGATCAACACAATCGGCGCGATGTAAACATTGCGGGCCTCGGCGGCGGTTGAAGCAAGAGAGACTTGCCCTTGGGCGTCTCTTCTTTTCTCGAAGGTTCCGACGAGGAACAACGAGGGGAATGCGAGGAGGCCTTTGAATTGTACGCGACATTGATTTACTATTTATTGATTATTAAAAATAAAGAAAATTACTCTGTCGAAGCATCGGACATTTGTTAGCTTTATGTTAATTAGATCGAGGAATGTGTACGATTAGAAAATGTGTTAGCAACTAATTGTACAGAGTGTCAAAGTTGTTATGACGCCGTTTTCGGAGAATAATTAAAGGTCATGGTTAAGCGTTAAAGAGTGGAATTTCATCCCATGCGAATTTTGTCTCGTTCTTATTAAATGTTAGATTATCCGCTGCGGACAATAACTCTTCTACTTTTCATCTAATATTCAATGATGGTAAATAACATTTAATTGCGTTCGTTTGACTTTTTTTATTTCGAAAATAAAAAAATATATATCAGGGTGAGATTTCACCCATGACAACATCAACGTGATTTTCTTTGATGCTTTTTTTAAAAGTTGAGATATTCTTCGACTCGCGGGATATTTATAATCGGAGTCTCGTCGCGTTAATTAACGCGTGCTCCTCCGAGCGGATCGAATACTCACCGACGGCCACTGTCGGTGCCACGAGCGAATATCCGGAGCGGACGGGATGCTGAATTGAGAAACAAGACAATGGGAATGGGACGCGGGCAACGATACATCATGCGTCTTCAGACGTGTCAAATTGTTTATTATATAGAAGACTTTGATACGGCAACATTCGAAGATTTAATATTTAATACGTACTTTTATTTTTCCTGCTCCTCCTCTCTCCTCCTCCCCCCCCCCCGCTCTTTTTATACCTCCGGGCATAGTCTGGCATAACGATGGCAACTGTGGTTCCAGCACGGACATAAACCGCCTGAAAGTGGATGTAGCACGGACTTCCATCACAGGCAGATTTTACCACCGAGATGTGAAAGTGAATGTAGCATCGTAGTTCCCCTCTCAAAATGGATGCAGATGGCGTCCTTTCCCAGTGCGAAAAGTCGGTGTCGCAGAAAATGCCGTGTTGGCCGCTCTTAAGGCCCATCTACAATGGCTGCAAAAATAAGGTTCTAAGCGTAAGCAGTAAGAAGCAGACCAACCACAATCGATTATTATAAGAATAATCGATTATGGTTGGTCCATTTCTTACTGCTTACGCTTATAAACTTATTCTTGCAGCCATTGTAGATGGGTCTTTAGGTTTCTCTCTGCTCGTGGCTTCCCTTGAGATAAGGGCCCTCACACATGGAATGACAGCTGCATATGAATAACATAAGAGCCTATAGACCAATGAACATCTAAATAGCATCTAAATGCTATTGGGTAAATCAATATGGCGACTGAATATTCGATGCTCATTCGTTTATAAGCTCTTATGCCTACGCGTTATGTAATTCCATGTGTGGAGCCCTTAGGGATTCTTGTTTGGTCAAGGAAGGTTTATGAAATGTAAAATGAGAAATAAGGAATCCTTATTTCTCAAGGAAGGACTATGAATACGGGTATAAATTCAATAAACTGTAACTTCTGCGAAAATAATGGTATTGATACAGTTCTGAAATCATTTTAAAACATAAAGATTCAAATTTTTAACCATATTAGTATCATAATTTTGCTGAAATTTTTGGCTATGAAATTATACGAATTATATGAGGAATAGCAACTGTGTAATTTTTAATCTTATCTTTCGGTTGAAGTGTTGCATGGAAAACTTATGGAAATAAAAAATTTAATCGATACATTTTCAAGAGGGAATTTTTAATTTTCGACTCATTTGTTAACAAACCTTGCATATCAATTTGTTTCCTTTTTATAAGCAATTAAAATCGATAAAACGCTTTTTGCTACAATTTTGAATAACTCAAAATGAAAATCGCATTATTACGTGCATGCATAAAAATTACAGAAGATTTATACTTTTAAATGGTATAAACTTTATTTACTTACATTCAATTTTTTGGTTATTTGGTACAGTTCAAGAAACTTCATAAAGAAATATTGACATTTGACAAATCTTGATAATCCTTACAATAACGTAACAAATTAATTAATTGCAAATAATTATTGTTATACATAAAATGTAGAGATTTCGAGTTGTGAAAAATGCTTCATGGATTATCTCATTATCATGAATTTTGCCGAAGTTATAATTCGTTAAATTTTGTTTATTTTTTGTAGTCGAGAAAAGTGGTCAAAATTTAATTTTTTGTCCGTAATCCATTTATACATATTATAATTAAATATATATGTATGTATCCCTGCGTTAATATTTTAAATTATCAGGACATTAGTTTTTAGCCGAATAGAATAAAAAGTCGAAAACTTATAAATTTAATTAGAGTTCTAAATAAATTGGTACTTTCCCTGTATTAGTGCAAAGAGTTCGTTCACAAGAGGACGAACGTTTCATTTTCAAATAGTGTGTATTGGCAGCGAATTGAGAGATCTTTTATTTCGTAAGTTGCTCGAGACTTAAGAACTGTTCAGAAGGAAATTTATTTTTCAATGATATAGCGACCGAACAGCGGGTATGCTTTTAACTCAGAATTGTTTACATCACATCATTACATAAGTTAATAGATAATCACTATCCTTAATAATTTTAGGGTTATACCGGTTCTACATGGTTGCGTTCAGACGATGAATCAAACGAAGAGTTGAAACGTACGACTGTTAACGGCGAATAAAACCAGTATTGCGATTAAAAGATGTTCGAGCAAGGTGCGAAGTGATGAGAACGAAGGTTTTCCGTCGAATTCTCTGATGATATTATTATCTCCATTGGAGTCTTGTTCGCCTGCGTGGCGGTTGGATGTGGTCCCTATAACTACGCATATTTTTGATCGTGAGGACTGCGTACGGGTTGTCCCTGTTTATCTTTTACTTTTATAATCGTTGACTGGCGTAGGAGATAGAGTGTAACAGCTCTGCCCAGAGCCATTTATTGAAGCTGAACCTGGATTGTCTCCATTGTCATCAGCCTGCCTTGTCGGTCTGATTACATTCATAGTTTTGTCAAATTTGTCTCAGGTGCGCAAACATCGGTTTCACGAGCAACTGTGATCTCAAAACTGTTGTTCCGGTTAAAAGCAAAGCAAAATTGTCGAATGATCAAGTTGAGACCATAAATCACGGTCGAATGGACACAAATTGGTGGGCGACAACGCGCTCGAAAAGCAATGAGCTTCATACATTGAGAAATCCGTCACGCGTTGTTCGAATTCAGCGACGACCGACTTGGTTGCACTTAATAACGATATTCTTTTCAAAGAAAATGCTGTGTTCTGCGTTGAAGTACGGCATAGCCGGTGGAATAATGTTTAATTATCACGCGCGACTTGGTGTCTGCCTACTTCTGTTGACAGCTTTTGTGGATTATATATAATTGAAAAGACACGCATTCTTTTGTATTCAGACAACATGTTTGTAAAAGCATTCAGTGATGATTCAGTAATTATTTTTTTCTAAAGGATCTTCAGTGATTATTGTCTTGTATATTTTATATACGAGACAATATACAAAAAACATTTTATATACGTTATTTAATTGCCAGTAGTTTAGAAAGACCAAATTTTAAATTATCACTGATTTATTTTGTTTACGATTATGATTTATGGTACTTTTTGTCTTAATTGTATAAGTTCTTCTGTAGAATATATACATTGTGCTCGAAGATCTTTATTGATATTAAATGTTTCAGTTTCTGTCTCATAGTATTGTATTCAACTTTATGATTGCTTTGTATCTTCTTTTCCTTCGTAGATATAATTGTTGTGTTTGGAACTCTAATCTATTTTAAAACATGTTGTCTATACTAAGAAACTCTTGTCGAAGAAATGTTCGATTGAGCACAAACTACCTTGTTATTCGCTCTGTGGGAAGTCATCATCTTCAAACATGGTCATGCAGAGAACTTCTTGCTAAAAAAAAATTTGACAGTGAACAGTTGCAATACTTGAAGTTGCAAAAATGCGACTTCCGTACTACGCAATGCTTATATGTGCCACCATTTATGGTTTATATTTTGCGCCCTGTCATATACATTGGTGGAGCTCTGATGGGACGTCATATTAAAAAGTGGTGGGCACGTAAATCTAAGGAGGAGAAGGAGAAATACAGACGATGGTACAGAGAAAGGCGCAATGTATTCCTAGGTAGATTTTCTGAACTCTGAATAATTGTATATTATAGTACATTTCTGTATTATATAATTTATCTTATTTAATATTCTTCACAAGGTGGTTTTGGACTTTATGGCCTAACGTTATTTATTTATTATATAACTCATTTAAAAACTGATCCACTGACACAACGTTCAAGATGTATAATTTTTAATAAAAAACAAGAGAGAGACTTGGGAAATATACTTTATGAGTTTGTAAGTAAATATAATTGTATGTAAAAATTTCTTTAATTTATGTTATACAAGATAGATATGTAACTTCCATCTTTTTGCTATATTTAAAGTTTTTGAACTTATTTGAGAACAATATAGTACCAAACAATCATCCTGCTTCTAAAAGAATCCTACCAGTATTTAGAAGGCTTATAGTAGCAAACAGGGATTTAAAATCTATAAGAGAAATAAAGTGGGATATAATAGTTATCAATACACCGTTAATGAATTCATTTACACTACCGGTAAGTATATTATTATTGAATTATATTACTTCTTTCCTTATACAATTTCATCTTTTAGGACGGAAAAATTTTCATTTCTTTAGATATGCTAAAATATGTTGAAAATGACGATCAGTTAGGATTTGTATTAGCTCACGAAATGGCTCATTCATTACTCTCACATATAGTGCGTAATGTATTATAAAAACAGAAATTTGTCTAATATGTTTCAAATATTTTATAATGCCCAAGACTAATCAATGATTTTCGTCATCAGATTGAATTACTGACTGATCAATTCTTCTTGGACTTTTTAATAGTGGTACCCACGTTGTTAGTTTGGGTTGTATTTCCTGATATGGCAGCTGCCATTGTTCAGTTGCTAATAAATCAGATAATGAGAATTATGTATGAACTTCCATATAGTAGGCTTCTAGAAAAAGAAGCTGATGAAGTAGCGATGAAATTGGCTGCAAAGGTATGTGAAATGCTACTTTTATTATTCGTCTTCAGAGACTCCCTTCTATAATTTTATTAATCTAATTTTCTAACTTACCAGGATACGAACAATTATCTGTTGTGGAATATATATAATACTGATGTAAATTTTTTATTTACACATTCTTTTAAGGCTTGTATCGATGTGCGTGAAGCTGTTGTATTTTTGGCTACGTTGAGAAAACTAACAGAGATGAACTTTTTGTCGCCGCAAACGCCATGGATATCATCGCATCCTTCTCACGACGACAGAGAGAAAAATATGAATGATGTGGTGACAAAAGTACTAGAGACGCGAGAGCATTCTGGAGTAAGTTATTTAGTTCACACTCGTGTTCTCATTGACGTCATGTGCTAACGCATTATGTATCTTGCAAATCATTCGTCCTCGAGCATCGTTGTTATTTCGTGTGTTTTTATTCGACATCTGCTGGAATTTTCTGATACGACTTCTCGTACGTTTTAATTATATTTTCAGTGTCCAGCGTTACCCGCAGTAGACCCAAGAACCAGGTTTTATGGACGATCGACAACAGAACAGATAATTCACTTCAGACAAAGAGGGATTATTGAGTGAAAAGTCGAAGGTACATAAGATTTAGTTAAAATTGGTTAAATCTGAGTGCCTAGTGCATAAGCAGTGCCCACTTTAGGTGATTATCAATTAGTAACATCCGGAGGATGCTATTTTCGTTACAAACATCGCGTTTTTTAAAACCACATCCGAATTTCTTAATATTATCTTATACATATGTCACAAGTTCCATTTAACTGATGTGCTACATATATACATACCATGGCTACTCTGAAAGTGTTGAAAGTGTTAATTACATTTGTAGATACGTTTAAACACACCATGCTTACACATATATATATAAATCATAAAATTTTGTTTCGTGATAAAATTGCACGTAAAATTCTAGCCGTTCCAAAGTACTGGATGTTGATCAATTGAAAGTTGAAAGCTGATTAAAATTAATTGTATATATAATTATTAATAATTTAATTAGTCGACGAAACTGATAAAATTAATGTATAATCAGTCGGATTAAAGTAATTGATTGAGAAAAATCTGTTATATGTAATCTCGATTTATTCGATGTTAATTTTGATCATTTTATTTTCAAAAACTTTTTGCCAGCATGAAAGTTGTTTAAAGTTGTTTTTGAAGTTATTTGAAAAGGAGAGATTTTGAACTCTTTTTTTCGGGGCTTACTAAAATAAATTATGTAAGTAAAATTATATACTTATTTCTTAACACATAAACGCGATATATATATTGTATTGTACATTGTATCTTATTGTATATCTTAGTTTACTTTTTAATAGTGTCATTTTTTACTAGTGTAAATTTTGATTAATGTTAATGCGAATTGTATCTAATAACACTGCGCTCAATATTCAAATTGCGTTATGTCGATTCGATATTCGTCCGTTTTGGTTGTTAATTTATTCTCGATAAAAATGTATATGCAGTAGCTCAAAGTAACGAGGATCTACGATTGTATAAACTATATTTTCCTAAGAATTGCGTTACATCAATTATTTTGTACCATCTCCAACTTTGACATTCGACCTCAAGATAATTAAATTCGTTCGTATAAAAAAGAAAATGCATCTATATTAAAATAACGAATGTCGTAATGAGGTTTGCGGTGATTGTGTTATCATCATCCTTCCTGTTCGCCGATGACACAGTCATGCCGTTTCATTAGAACCGGTCAGTGACAAATCATCGTCTATTGCTCGCGAAGTACGCTATCTGGTCGCATATATGTCACAGAGAGATCGCCCTGCGTTTTGCACACTTGTTCTGTACAGTTTTACACATCCTCGTGTGTTTTTAATTAATATTTGTGAGAGGAAGGCCCGATCGGGATCAACGCAGTGCGTCGCCTCGCCGTCGATTCGCCGATGATGTACCACATGTGTAACACCGGGACCGTTCGTTTTCGTAGCACCGATGAAGAGCCGTGGATTCGACGTTTCGTCGCACTCCTGATGAATTTCGTATTAATCTGTGATCTCGCAGCGGTGTCCGCGTATAATATCGACACGAATTATCCGATACTCTATCCGGACAATGCAACTAACAGGCACCAATATGCCACCACGGAATTCGCGCGCGGTTACTTCGGCTATACAGTGCTGCTGTACCGTGACTCAGAGCAGAATTCTACATGGTAATGTGCACCAATTCGTTTCTTTACATAACGATGAAACATCTTGCATGTATAATGCATGGCCGGCTTGAGTCATCAGTAACTTCCGACGCGAATAATAAATATAATGATTCTCTGGAGAAGAAAGGAAAGAGCGGAGGGGTCGTTTTCTCTAAACGAAAATATCTCAAATTCATCGTGATTCATACAGGAGCGATAGCTTTTCTCAGGACGCGCTTATGTGAAATAAACAATATATAAAATATATATATTTACTCAATAGATATTTGTCAATACTCTATGTATATTCCACAGTTGAAAAATAATCTATATTTAACGACATGTTCTACATTCTGATTTATTTATTAAGATAAATATATGTGTATCAATCAAGCTATAAGGATGCAAGGACGCATGGTCCATGTCTGGATAACCGATGACAATATGCATTTTTGTTCGACAGGTTGTTCGTAGGCGCACCTCGTGGAAATTACACTGAGCCGACACGGCTCAGCCGCCGATCGGCGAGTATAAGCGAGCCCGGCGTGGTTTATCGGTGCATCTTGCCGGGTCCATGCGTGGAAATCAGGCCGGCAATTGTCGAAAACGAATATATCAATGTTATAGATGAGTTAAAAGGACGTATAATGAAGGAGCACTCCTGGTTCGGCAGCGCGATATCGATTGACAGGAACAGCGGTTTCTTGACGGTATACACGCGCGGACAAAATTTGCTAAATGAATGATGTACCGGACAATACATATTCGATACACGTTCGATTGACTGTTTATTTTATTGTAGATATGCGCACCTCGAGCGATTATGAGTATTACCTTGTATAACGGCGATCAGGTGTATACTATGCACGGTATGTGCTACAATAACCAGCTGTTCTGGAAATCAACGGTGAACACGGACAAATCTTATATCAATAATTATGGTATATATTCTTCCGGATATTTTGGAAAACATAGTACAGCGCGCTTCGTTTGTCTTGGCTCAATTGTTAATTAATTAATTGAAACAATCGTCGAGTTACTCGACGATTATTCAAAATAGAAGGGGAAGTACTGATTGACTGTTAATTGCGCTAGATTTCACCGACAAATATTGGTACGATCCAGTGCACGGTTTCTCCATCACCTACGCGCCGTCGAAAGTATGTTAAACGATATATATAATACACATAATATATACAATTATTATATGTATACGTGTATGTGTGTATGTGTGAGTGTGTGTATTTGTAGCTTTGATTCTTTTATCTTGAATTTCTTCTTTAAATTTCGTAGTCTTCGGTTTTACGCGTATCTTTAGCGAAATGGCTCACCTTTCTCGGTATGTTTATTAATTGTAGAACAGGAACGCAATCAGCCGTATTATTGGAGAGCCGAATCACCAGATTAGCGGTTCCGTCACTATGGTTCAACTCGAGAGACCGACCTATGCCGAAATCTACAGACGAACCTCTCGTATATCGATATTCGACAATGGGTCACGATTTGGTACGAGATCTCAATGATGTATAAACGTCATATAATATAAGGAACAATAATAATAATGAAAGAGTAATACAATCCATTGAAAATTTGCACTCGAGGCTTGATACGATATATTTTCTATTGCAGGCTACTCGACAACTGCAGGGTATTACTTCAGTCAGACTCGGTTACTTTACGCTTCTGGGGATCCAACGTGGAACCAAGTAGGACAGGTAACTGTCTCATTTACTTGAATAGTCCGGAGCAGAAGAACACGTTGCACTGTATTGTGCGACGGAGCGTTAGTGTATTTTTGACGCCTCACAATTGCAGGTTGCTGTGCTTGACCCGGGCAAAAGTGTGAGGATGGTTGCGAATCTCCGCGGTACCGACATCGGCGAGTACTTTGGCGCGAGTTTGACCACCGGCGATTTAAATAAAGATGGCTTGGACGATCTCGTCGTCGGAGCGCCACATTGGAAAAACGATAACGGCAGGGTTTACATATACCTGGGTACACGTAAGGTGAGTTTAGAAATTAGCCGATCCTTCTGTCGGCTTGTCCTGATTCCTAACCAGACCATCAGCGGTCAAGTAAGAATTGACGAGAGTCTTGCGCTTCAATGTAATTGAGTAATTCTCGATGTAATTCTGACACGAAGATTCGAATCCAGGCGAAACAGAAAATTTCGATAATGTCCAAATGACATGTTAAATGAAGAGAAAATGATTGGACCATGATTTAAAAGTGAGTGATTTTCTTGTCATTTTGATGCTACGATCTTCTGCCTGAAAAGTGGTTCAAATTATTATTCTAAATTTTAAAAGTATACTTAATTGACCTCGAAACAAGCCGATTAGCATCTCCAAGATCGTTAACGACAAAATCGGAGGTCTGCGAAACGAATGTACATAATATCTTAAAGTTCGTTTGCTTGACGCAGGGAGAATTTGACACATCCTCGATTTTAGAAGGCGCCAACGAGGACGCGCAATTCGGCTACGCTGTAGCGTGCGGCGATTTGGACGGAGATGGCTTCAGTGGTAATTAACGCTGTCGTAGTTAACAACGCGAACGCTTCTATGAAGAATTCGCATGAATCCAATAATGACGTGCTTGTTGAATTTCAGATATCATAGTGGGCGCACCCTGGGACGGGTCCGGGGCGATTTACATATACAACGGCGATATAAGCTTGAAGGACAAGGTGAAGCCTGCAGCGTCGCAAAAAATCACAATGCAGTTGCCCACTTACAGTCTCCCGACGAAGCTGGACATACGGACGTTCGGATTCTCGATAGCCGAGCCAGTTGACGTCGACGCTAACGGGTCGGTGAAGAGGCACAATGAATTACATTGAATTACACTGAATCACCCAAAAGAAATTGCCTCGCGGGGGAAAATCGTGTCGCGCGTGTAACTGAAATCTTTCGTTTTAATTACAAGTGAATTCTTTCTTTATAATTGAGATGCGAGATGTTTTATTAATTCTGTATCACTTGCGCTACAGGTACGCGGACATCGCGGTAGGTGCGTACAAATCAGGACACGCTGTGATATTGCGAAGCAGACCGGTCGTGAGGACAACTCTGACCATTCGTACCATACCGGACACTTTACAAAGGAATTTCAATAAATTCCTCGTTCAAGTGTGCGTTGAATATCGTGACTACGACAAAGCGAGGGCGCAGGGTAAGTTGTAATCAATTAATTTATTGTTTATATTTATAATTACTTGGAATTACTTGATGTAGATACTTGTAGTTTAGTCTTCCGGTATAATTACTTATAATTCTGTAATTATATACTTACATAATTATAAACTTATGTAGTCAGTTAACTCACACGACAGTTTATTACCATGTGTATAAACTTCAGTTTGTAATTTGCAGCTTTCAAGATCATTCTTACCATAGACGAGAGACAGAAGCGTACCAAAGAGACCTTATTGGAGTTATCGGCGAATACCCTGGCTGATAGGTGTTTAAACACGAGTGTTACACTTTCGGTAAGGGGATTCGTGTAATGTAACTTAACGTAATGTATAAGTTACATGAGTATACGTTGATTCGATAACACGCTAACACGTCCTTGCACCCCAATAATCCCGTTATGTTTCAGAAAAATATTCAGGATTTCATCGAGCCGATAACCATTTACGCGCTGCACGAGTTTACGCACAAAGATTTGCCGGGGCGCACGTTCTGTGACACCTGTCCTGTCGAACGCAAGAGTGACACGTCGAAAGGCGTGCAGGCTTTACTTTCCTTCGACATCGGATGCGGAGCGGACAGAGTTTGCAACTCCAACATATCCGCGATTGTAAAATTTTCAGGAGTCAGGCAAGTAAAGCATCGAGTGTCACGTACATAGCTGCACAAAAAAAAAAAGAAAGATCAGCTCAGGTATAAGACAATGAAATATTGGTCGGTCATTGTTAATCATGAAAATTTAAATTACTAAAAGGGTAGAAAATATTTAAGTGACATTTATCGAATTAGATGAAATAAACTCAAATTGAATCGAATGAAATTAATTCAATTCATTGCAATTACAGGAATAATAATACTTGGGTGATCGGATCCAACGATATTACTCTAGAGGCGTCCTTAATGAACCAAGCTGAGCCATCGTATCTCACGACGATCGCGTTTACCCTTCCGCAGAACATAGTATTGCGTAGTATCTTACCGTATTGTCAGGAGGATACGGTTGGAGACAATTTGACGGTCATCTGCAACGTCGGCAATCCGCTTGGAAAGGATGAGCTGGTAAAAACAATCGAGTCACTACTCAAAGTACCAAAGATTTAGAGTTTCTTTCACCGAGTGTGATTTAAACTCACATTTGTTTGCAGAAAGTTGTGAAACTGGATTTAGATATGAGACATCTGACCGATGGCTCGCAACACGGACGAGTTCTGGAGTTCATCACGGAGATACGGACCCGTAGCGTGAATCATGGTACACGTACGATTAAATCCTCGCTCACGTTGCAGAGTGAAGCATTTTTGACGTTGAATGGGTCGGTATACGAGAGAAAAGTGCGAACAAATTATGCCCCGCTGCGACTGAAGTTGATCTTGTCTTTGTAGGAAAGCGAACGAGGAAAGTTATTATTTACCCGACTTGGACAAGGAGCAATTAAACGTCAGTTTTCAGCACACGTATCAGATATTGAAGTCCGGTGCGACGCCGATAAGAGAAGCGCAACTTTTCGTGAACATCCCGACGTCTGTGAACGGCTCAAATTCTCTGGTATTTCTACATAAACCAAGGGTGCGTATCAAGTACAATAAGATTGTGATGGTATTCAAAATTGAAGTTTCCGTTAAATTAATTACTACTCACCAGATCTCAATAGAAGATCCCTTCCTTTTAGGAAGAAGTTTCTTAGCTTTCTCTTCTACAACGAAAGAGCCCGTATTTTTTAACAAAGTTATTTAAAATGAAGAACTTGCGAAGAGAAATTATGAAATTTAACAAAAAACCAACAGGATTGACAAATACTTTATATGTCCAACCTGATAATATTGTAAATTGTAATAATCTGTAATAATTATAATAATCCTTTGAAGAGATATATATATATATTTATAATGGTTTATATTCAGATATACATAGCTGGAGGATACCACGATTGCTCATCGTACGGGATAGACATGATAGATGCGCAACAAAATGAACTTCAAAACGAAATCTTGTCGGACGCTGCCAATGTGAATGCACCAATTTTCAATAGCGGGATGCCGCAAAATGTACCGCACGAATTGCGTAAGCGTAGGGACATAAGAAGCCACACGATTGTAGCGGCTCATATCGTAAAAGCACTTTATACCGCGAAGACGGTAAAGTCTGAAAATTCAACCGGCAACCTAACACGACAGGAGGTCGTGCATCTCAACTGCTCGACGCCCAGCGTGAACTGTTCAGTAGTGCAGTGCGATTTGAGCGCATTGAAGACGCAACAGGACATCGGCAAGTTAGTGATGAGACTGATTCTCAACGTTACGAAGCTCAAAGGTATCGAATGCGTGTGAAGTGCAGTTATACTCGCGTCTATGTCCCTCTTTTTATTTTCTCTATCGATTTCAAGCGTATTTCTTGTTTCAAGATACTATTGGACTGTCGGATGAAACAAAGATCGTAAAATTCAGTACTGAAGCTCATGTTGAAATTGTGCAACCGGCTAATAGAATCGCCAGCGTCGAAGATACCAGGTAAACATTTGCAAAAAAATGTTCCTGTGTAAATCATTAGCTATCCATGAAATACGACTCAATTCATTTATTAAACTTAATTAATCAGCGTGTTACACATTACAGGTACGCTATGAATCTCACGACAGAATTTCACAGCACCGCAAAGACACAAGAGCTACAGCTGTCGGTTGTGCTTGTGTCAGTCACGTTAGGTCTCATAGTGTTGTGTATTATCGTTATCTTTTTATACACGGTGAGTTTCTTAATCTCGCACATTATATTAATCATCTCGTCGCGAAATAAAGACAGTATTCTGATTAAATATGTTGTTTGTGATTACAGTCAGGCTTCTTCAGAAGGAAGATGAAAGAAGAATTGACTGCTTTAAAAGAGAATGAGGTAAGAACGACGTCACGGTAAATTTACATAACTAATACATACGCGTGTGTGCACATACATTACATCACAATGCTGTAAATATGCTAACAGTTAATATACAACTATTCTTTGTACAGATGACGGAAGATGTGAACAAAGGGGAAAACACAGGTACGCCGGAATAGAGAATACTTTGTACATCTATTCCATTATTGTTGTGATACATATCCTATAAGATATACAAATAACAAATCTGAATTACAAAAATTGCCTTTTTTTTTATTAATGTGACAAGCACAATATGTCTCATCCATATGAAACAGACGCATTAGTCTATAAAATTTTATAATGATTATACGAATATATTTACATTTTGTATGACACTCGCAACAAGTAACCTATCTTTCTTAACTATATGAATGTACGTCATCGGACACACTCTTATGTTAACAACCTGCTTATATATTTACAATATCACTTGACCTATGATATAAAAACAAATAACATTGTTCGTACATAACATTCGTGGCTCTTTCGCCTTTTACTGCAAATCGTACTGTAAATATCATTAATAATTTCTCGAGTATAACAATGTAAAAAGATATAAATAAACATAAAAGATAGAACGTTCTTTCTATGCATTCATTCAATATGATCCATCGTAAACATACTTGATACCCAAGCAAATATTTTATATGACATCGAAAATACCGTTTTACACGCCTCTCTCATCATGTGATGTGTCGCAGTTGCGCATACGAAGTACAAAGTGTGAGCATAAATTATTTCGTCTTTTCTCTTTTCCTCTTTCTTCCTTTCCTTTTTTTCATCATGATGTAAAAAAAAATCATTGATAATATAATATGTAAACATAATATGAAAACGTTTAAACGTAAAAAAAATATGATACGAAGTTCTCAATCCTAATCTCTTGACGTGTCGTCCACACACCGAAATCCCATCTACAAAACATCTCTGTTCAAGAGACTGATGAACCGCAAGTACGATACACCCATCGTCGCGATACACATTACGTGCATACATCAACGGGGTTGTAGCATACGGTATTTAGTCAGCACATTTCATACAACTGTCCACTTCGTGGTCAGTACATGGCAAAGATATAACTGCAACGAAGTTGACCCAGTTATGCCATAGACACCAACCAAAATTTGGGAATCAAACTTAACAAAGTTCTCTTCCCCTGTTGCGTGTCACAGTTAATAATCTCAGTACTGAGCGATTACATACAGCTGAGGACTTCGTCCTCAGATGCTGTATCTGATGTCTTTCTTACTCCTTGCTTTTCGTCGTGGTGTGGGACTCAAAATATCCTTTACAGTACTGTTAAATCAAACATTACGAATTGTGCATCTCATATGCTCATACACATATCATTAACAGTACCTCACGAAATAAAATAAACAGTGAGTATTACCGCGAATATAGTTGTATAATTTATGCTCACACGGAGTAATCCAATGTAATTCTTTCGACAACAAACAATTTAAGGATCATTAGTGAGTATCATGTATGCGTAGCGACGTAATTTTGATTGACTTGTTTTAGTCTTGTTTTTATGTTATTCTCAAAAAAAAAAAAAAAAAAAAAATTAATTTATAGACTTATGTGTTTTGTGTAACGTTAAATATTCTACCGAATGATTATTCGATATGAACCTAAATATAAAAAGAAAAATTTCATTATTTTTTTGCTTTTAAGTGTGCGCTAGCATCACATAAAAGTTATTGTTATTATCGAAATAAAAGTAATATTAGACTTTTTTTGCGACTTCAATTTCGAAAGTAAGAAAGAAAACGCGCACGTTTTTTCGATACTTTCGAGATGTGAAGTTTTTTGTGTTAATTACTTTCATACTTATACACACGCGACATACACACAGTGAATATTGTACAGTTACAGAAAATATTAGAGAAATAAAGTACTTTTTATATTCTTTGTAATATAGAAAATTCCATAATCTACATATGGAAAATTTTTCGTACTTTTTTTCTCTTTTTTTCTACTTGTGCTGTGTTTAAAAATAAGTGTCAGCATCATATTATTTTCATTTTCTGTAACAGATACACATTGTGTATGCACAAAGTTGTAATCTTATCATTTTTACATCATGCAAAGTGACATGAAAGCTGGAAGAAATTAAATGAAATATTAAACAAATACTTATTTTGGTGCAGTGCTTTGACCGCTCCAAATATACTGGAATGAAGATATTTCACCTCAGTACTGCACTTAATATTCGTGTAACTAATAGTTACATTGTGTTATATACACTATGTTATATGCAGCTGGAAGTTTGTTAAAAACTCATAGGTTGGTTAATAACCAGATATTTACATGAAAAGTAACTATCATATATATTCTAACTATTAAAGTTAGAGTTTTTTAACGAACCTAGAAATTTTTAACAAAACCTCCGCAGCGTAAGTGCATTTTTCATCATTGATGAAATATCAAAATAAAACTAAATCTAAATGTTTGCTTATCAAGTTTCTCTCTTGTACTCCTATTTTTTTTCTTTTTTTTTTTTTGGATTTTTGCGGAGTTTGATATAATAATTTTCGCATGCAGCAAACATCTAGATATCAATATATCTAATTTTTTTATGTAACAGAGAGAAATCCGCGGGAAAGACTGTGCAAATGAACATGAACGAAATAACTTTTTGTGCTGGGGCAAGATATTTTTACATTTACTTTGCGAATGCCTCCGGAGGTATCTGCCCAAGCTTAAAGAAATTTTGAAATGCGGAAAGCGCATTGTCATAGTTCCACTGTACCTCGTGCAAGCATTTTAAACTCCATTGGAAGTTCATGTTCGTTTGCTGGCTCAAAGTGACAATCATTTGCTGCTTTATCTGCTCGCTCAATTCAGTCGTCTCCATGGGCTTTGCTGCTTCGACTTGGGTCGACATTTGTGGTGCCAATGGAGGAACTGATTGTTCCACCGATGTTTGCGGTATTATTGGTGCTGACTGTTCCGTGGAACTTTGCGGTAACAACAGAGTCGGCTGCCCTCCTTGACTCAGCTGACTCTTCAATTGCTTCGAATGTGTATCAGTCAGCTGACTTATGTGCAATTGTTCATTGCAAATACAATATCCGGAACCTTCCGGTTGGATTATGAAGGTTCGATTGAAATAACGAATGGGCTCCTCTTTAGTGACTTCTTGGAAATAGCCCGTCAACGTTACGAACATCATTGTTGGCTGTAACACACAATAAGACAAATTAAACGTAAATTCTATTTTATATGGAAAATATTATATATTAGATATGGAAAAAAATATAAATTGACAAGTTCCGTTTTAAAATTCGCGAATATGTGAAATTAAAAATATAAGATTTATATGTACATAATGAATGTGAATATAGAAAATCAACAAACCCTGCTAGCTGTAATTTATGCAATCAAATAATTCATAAAATCAAATGTCCAATATAACTCACCGTTGGTAACGTGATGTCCATCGTGAAAGTATCCAGAAAATGCTTCGTTTGCGGCATTTCTGAGAGAAACGATACCAAAGGTAGTTTTCCATTTTTCAATAACCTGACTCTTCTAGAGGTATCGTTTACTCTAAATAAATTTCGGTTTTCTAAAAGATAACCGTTCAATAACCTGTAATGAAAATTTTTTCAGTTAAATTCTAAACTCGCTTGATCATATTATGAGACTTGAAGGAATTACAGGCGTTACGCGAATACTTACTTTGAGTGAAAGTTCGTAATCGTCATGCTAAAGCATGCGTGTTCATTGTATGCGTTCAACAGCGGTTGACGATTGTCGCTGTCAAATATCATGAAATACTGCTGAAGGAATCGACTGGCAATTTCATGTGCCTTCTCGCTCGAGGCAAATATTCTCTGTGGTGATGGCGTTTTGGCTGTTTCATCAATCATATCAAACACGATTGGGCGCGGTAATTCCGTTCCATCCTGTTATAAAATGTAAAATATTCTTTATTAAATATATGTATAAGTTTGTTTATATACACAACATATTACGTACATACATATATATGTACATACATATGTATGAAATACTCACCAATCGCAACAGCTTCGGAAACCGTTTCCGGACATCACTGTAGAAAAGCCAGCAGGTTCCAAAAGAATAGATTAGCGCAATAACAATAATTAGGTATTATTACGAGAAAAAGAAAAAAAGAATGCATATAAAACAGTTTAACTATAATAGTTTAACACTCTAATAGTTTAAGTTTACATATAAAATCTTTCTAGTTATAATAATAAAATTTGTCCTATTCAAAATAATTTAAATTTTATGTGCATTTTCACATAACAAATGTATTTCCAAAATTTTACTTACAATTTACTATAAAATAAATATTAATTGAATTAAAAAATGCTAAGGTTTTTTATAAAAATTCAGTGATTAAATTGAAGAATGATATTTGAATGAAATATATTTGAATGAAATTTTATTGAATGAAATAATGATCGCAATGTTATTGTATCATGTAGGTAGGTAGTAATTATTCCTAATGATTTTCAACAAAAAAAAAAAGAATTTTAGCGGTACGTACCTAACATAATCGGTTTGCCGGGTCTTGTACCTGACACAGACAGGATTTTCTTGTAATCGGAGTTCCTCTAACTTTAGATCCTTTAGAACGTCTAATTGATTCATTTCTCGGATCTATAATATATATTTAATTCATTATATATCAGAAGGAAATAGTTTTTAAATCATTTATCAAAAACGATAACATTAAGGAATATTTTTTCACTGTACCTTATTGTCCCCAATATAAAGTATCTTCAATTTCGGAAATTTCTTACTCAAAACACTGAGCCCTTGGATTATGTACATTTTATTGCCTTCTAAATTTAAGGCCTCCAACGTCGGTATATGTTCAGCAACAATATCCAACACTGCCATCAGCATTGCAGGACGAAATAATGCGCAAAAATAATCAGTCACAAGATCTGTTGAAATAACGATTTGTTTAATATTAATGAGTTCTTTTTCGCTAATTTATAGCAGTTTCGTAATTTTGTTATATTTACCAGAATCTTGATGGAACTTTGATAAGTCCAAGGCATTTGTTTCCGCTATATAACGTTTTCCCATTGCTTGTTTCAGACGTTCTTTTAGTTTATTATCTATTTCACATTGTGGGAACCCCGGCTTTATTCTTATGTTCAGTTTAAAGCCATCAGTCATCGTAATTTTGCGATCACAATTCACCAATGCATTCGCTGCCTTTTGGTTATCAACGAAGAAAAAAGCATCAAAGTCCGTTACTTTATACTGGAAATAAACATTAGGTTATAAAAATCGTCGAATTTTTCAAATTTTCAGACTAATGTAACACACACAATATGTATGTTTTATTATTAATAATAAAAGAAACAAATTATATATTTACTGCAATCGGTACAAATATCTCAGGTGCCATATAATTTAATAGATTCCTCAGAATATAGTCCTTCTCATATTTCTGACCATATGGTATCTGTAATTATAATATATAATTTTACAGTACTGCAAACGATGCATTCAAAATATATCGTTTAAATCATCGATGTCATTTAAATCATCACGATATCATTTAAAATATATCGTGGTACTTACAATAATCCTATACCAGTCACATTCATTTAATCGATAAGGTCGCAATCTTAATCCAATCGACTGTCCTCCTTGGAAATTTCTGTTTGGGAGGGGGCTATTCCTGCCTCGTGATCCATTTCCACGTCCCCTTTCCCGGATAACCACCTGTCTCGTATTGTTGTTGGAACTCGGTGTCATTGGAATGTCCTCATCCAAATTAGCCAAACTCATATTGCGCCTTATATCTTTATTTGGTCTTTGTGTCTTGAATGATACACGAGGCCTAGTCGCTCCAAGATAAGTACCCATTGTCGGTCTTATTACACGATCATCATGACCTAAGAGCGAATAATTTAAGGTAGATTGACCGTTTGCGTTTGGAAGTTGCAGTATTTGCAATTCAAATTGACACTTGTTCACACATATATTCCATACCATGCTAAAATTTAATATTTTTTCTTCAATGTTAACATTTAAAGTACATTTAAGATTCTTATGAAAAATCAGCATGATATTAAAGATAAAGTTAGATATTACAGATTTGCAGATATTATACAATAGAAAGAAATTATCATAACCACTCACCTTTGAAAATACAATCATAAAAATTTATAATTCAAAATGTTTCGAATATGAAAATGAAAACAAAGCTTTAATGTAAATAGATTAAAAAGAAAATAGACAAAGGAAATATATTGGAATAAATAATTCTTATATATATTTGCACTACTAAATATAAGAAAATTATAGTTTTTCTAAATGTAACTCAATTTTCCACAACTTTTATTATTAAAACATTAGTATAATGCATATTGTACATCATACACATATCTAATTATATGTTTTAAATCATTTAATTTTTCTTTTTTATATACAAGATGTACCAAAAAGATGGATATCTTGGATTAATTTGAAGAAACGATGTTTTTGAGAAAAAATAGTAAATATAAAAGTTTTAGGATTTGGAAATGGACATCTACTGGTGAACTTGAACTTGACCTAGAGATTAAATTTAAGAGTCAAATCAAGGTCAACTTTAAAATTGTAAATAGGAATCCCTATTTTTTATTATATCATCTTTTTGTACCAATTAATTTTAATAACTTTTTCTTCCGACCAGTAGTTACCGAGATATTATAAACTAAATATTGAAAGTTACCAAGTTTTCCTTAAATATCTCTAAAAATATTAGAAATAAGAAAGTATTTCAGACAAAAGTTATTCAAATTGTAGAAAAAGATGATTTAATTAAAAGTAGAAGTTTCCATTTACGATTTTAAAGTTGATCTTGACCTCTAAATTTAATCTCTTATCAAGTTATCAAGTCATCCCTTCAAGTTAATCTGAGGTATCTACTTTTTTTATACATCCTGCATAATTAATTTGGAACTTGCATTACATTAGGAAACAACTATTTTAAATACCTTATAAACAAGGCTATAGTTCTGATAACTAAAGCCTGATAAGAATGTTTCTTCTTTTTACAAATTTTACTGAAGATAATAATCTAATACATTATTATATTGTGTCTGTGACAGATGATTGTATTCAATGTAGCTGTTCAACACAGGACATGTCATCCATAGTACCCCAATTCTCTAATTAGTCATTTAAGATTGAACATTTATGAAATGTCATATACAAACTGTATATACAAACTGTTAACCCATAACTGCTGTGAAACCATTTTAAGTACGCGCACACTGTTCACTGGTCAAATTGACCGGTAGGAAACGGAATTGATGAATATCTTGACAAATAACACGACCATACAACTGCGTGTATATCAGTCGACTGACATTCAGAATGTAAGAAAATACACTGACGGATGAATATGCAACTAGAAAATTAACCGCGTTATTTAAATTTCAAATAGCGCAATGGTCGAATTGACCGGAGAACAGCAGTTACGGGTTAAGCATATATTTTGCCAAATACAAAAATATAAATGCAACATAAGCATCTATCGATTAATCATATGTTAAGCAAACTATATTATGTTTGCATTCAGCATAAAATGAATATAATGCTATTAACATGTTCCGTGCCATGTATACCATCAGTGATATATACTAAACTTTTCATTCAAGCTGCTTATACCACCATTGATGCATGATATAACTATTTTATATATGCTAATTTGATCTTACTGATCAAAATTAATCGACAAATATATCAATGGATATAACTAAATATTTTATAATATTTCTGTCTTTACTCAAATGGCTCGAATGGAATGTTATGTAAAAATAGCTCAGCATGGAACATGTTAATTGGAACAGTAAATAAATCTTGCCCAATTATCGTAAATATATTTATCTTTAATATGTCCATCTAATATTTATTATATTAATATTTTTTTCGACTACTAATTTTTCGTTTATTTTAGCCAAACTGACTTATAGATTTGATAAATGTGGATATATTTATTACGACGAGTTATTATTATTGCTTTACAAAACAATAATAACAGTGTTTGTAAATATTTTTAATGTGAAATTAAGGTAGACGAACTTAATCGTAATATGCTGACGTCGTATTTTTGCACTTTAATCAGCTTCGCATAAAGTAGCCACATGCACCGACGCGAAGTAATTCGGATGGCTGAGTTCGCTATTAATTTGTTTCTTGCGTAAAAATCTAATCTATTAATTTGTAACCTAGGTTAAAACGAGCCTATATAAACATTGTCATGCTTATGCACGTATGCAGCTGATGCGTAGAAGCACTGCATAACGGTAGCATCCATCTTGTTTTTTACGCGCGTACGAATAACCACGTGTGGTCAAAAGGACAAAGAAAGATACGACGGAGATGGTTTCATCTTGCTACACAGATATATTGCAAATACAAAGATATATGCGGAACACGGAGACACAATCGCGTCGAAATTATGCAATATTTAACGGATATCACATCGATGATACAGGAGGAAAATGAAGAGATGATGTAAGCGAACTAGAGGAAGGAAATGGAATTTCGACGCTCACTTACCAAAATAATGTTTGTCGTAACGCTTGTTGTCCAGGGAAGTGGCTGCACGACCGCCACGAATGTCCCAGGATGGAGATCTATTCGATTTCTTCGGCATCTTTGTCGAAATACACACGCAATCACAAACTCAATAACCACAACTTTTCTAACAATTAGGTTAGGAAATGTCTCGGATGGCTCCTCGAACATTAACCTCGATACCTTCACTGCTCGATTTCCAATATTAGAGTGATGTGGGAGTCAGTTGATGTCGGTGGTCACGATGAGGTAATATTTCTGCGCATGCGCAGTAGGAAGGATTCACACCTAGTAGGAAGGAGAAAGCGAAGGCAGCAGCCAATCACAAGTGGCGCTGGTAGTCTGTCCTTCTCTTCTATCTCTCTCTCTCAAGAGAAGGTAGACTTCTGATTGGCTGCTAGCTTTCTGCTTCTGCTTCTCCACATAGGTATAAATCTTCCCTGAAGCATGCGTAATGGTCGTAGTAAGGTCAATGCCGTGTCTAATTCAAAGAATCGAAAAATTTTACGACTGAAAAAATACAAAAGGAATTATAAAGATAAAGGACAGGTTGTAAAAGAAAACGCAATATGTAACAAAAAGGGGTTGTAAAGACAAAGGATAGGTTGTCAAAGGAAACGCAGTATCTAACAAAAAAAGAGTACGCAACAAAAAAGGGACTCTGAAACAAAAGGAAGATATGCAGTGAGGGATTCTAAACTAACGGGGAGATATGCAGTGAGGGATTCTAAACTAACAACTAAGGGGTTGTAAAGACAAAGGATAGGTTGTCAAAGAAAACGCAGTATCTAACAAAAAAAGGGTACGCAACAAAAAAGGGACTCTGAAACAAAAGGAAGATATGCAGTGAGGGATTCTAAACTAACGGTAATCTTGACATTTTTCAATTTCTTCAGTTTCTTTTGTGCATTAGAAAGTGGCCCGAAAGTCACGTACTTACTTAATGCGCATGCGCGCAAGTAGTATATGTACATGCTACCGAAGCAGGGCTCATATTCTTGAAAAATATTGCATACGATATTTCATGAATATCACTATACATGTCACGACTCTTAGCCAATTAAATTGTCCCATTGATAAAATATCGTATACGATATTTTTCACAAATTTTCGAGAATAAGGGCTTAGGTATGGAATCGTGCGCAGAAATATCTCTCGTTCTCCCATTATTGCTACGGTAACACAGAATCGATGTCTCGTTCGAGAGATCTTGATAGGGATAGATAAGCGCAGTATGCAACAAAAGAAAAGGTACGCGACAAAAAAGGGATTCTCAAACAAAAGAAGGGTATGCAACGAAGGTTTCTAAACTAACGGTAATCTTGACATTCTTCAAATTCCTTGAACTTTTTCTTCGCACTAGAAAGTGGTTTGAAAGCTACAATGTCATAAATCACTTATACAACGCTTTTCGTTGTCGAATTTCTCGACACATTCTACATTAAATAAGGATAAAGTAATCTTTAATCAACTGTCCAGTAAGAACTACAACGTTGATTCGACATCGATAGGGGTTGAATTAACGTTGATTCAACCCTGTATAAAATGTCGTATTGTTTCGCATTCACGAGATTTCGTCGTGAATTCTGCTTTGCGAAAACCTCGGATTGGATCGCGGGCCAATACTTTTCAATGCTACGGGGAATAGAACGTGAAAATCTTCTATGCCTCTGAATCCGAAAACAATTAGGAGAAGAAGTGAATACTTTTCGAAGTGTTCTCGCAAGAGAGAAAATGTAATTTACGTTGTATCTTATTAGACGCACCGTTGGAAAAACAAAAGAATACGGGCGGGGAGGGGACACATCCGAAGAAAAGTTAGCGGCTTTTTAAAACGCCGCAAACGGGACAACGTGTTTGTAGATGAAATAACGAATGCGGCGCATACTCGTCACTCGCGCACAGAACCACGTCAATGCCGTAAACGTAGGCGTTTTCCTGCTCGTAATTACGAGCAAAATTAATGTAACGCAATTAGGACGTAATTAAACTAAAGGACTCGCGCGACTCGCGTCGCGCACGTTACATCGTCGACACTTGTCGTTTCTTGCGTTCTCGCGGCAAGATTTCGAATGTCGACTGCTCGCATTTGCGATTTAATCGCCGTGACCGCGATTTGCTAAATCCCCAGACCCCCTTTGAAACGATCGAGCGCCGAGTTTTGCCGCACTCGGCGAGTTTTCGCGCACGGCGCGCGGCAGTTAATTTACGATCGTAAAACGTACGTATGTGCGTGCATAATTATTCCCTAATTGGACGCGCAGTTACGTATTTGCACTTTGATTTAATGTCAGTCGTAAATAAACAAACGCGGTCACACGGGCTCAATCATAACGTAATGTAACTCACTCACTGCGACCAATTATAATATATATATATATATATATATATATATACATTATAGGGAATATATCGTGGACGCGCGCGAGACGCGAAACAAAGTTTCCAAAATATTTAGAGAAGGAAACAACCCAGTCGACACAGAACATTATATTTATGTTAAAATTTCGCACTCAACAATATAAATGTAATATAACATACATGGTGTTGAGTGAGAAATTTTAATATAAATGTAATGTAACTAATGCTCTGTGTCGACTGGGAATTACCGCCTGCTCTTGTTACGAATTACGAAATGTAACGAGAGATAATAATTCGGATAATAATTAGAAGATGCAATTTTTTACAAAAATATATATAAAAATGCATATGTACAGAAAAAGAATCATGTGCTGTTGAACGAGGTGTAAGTTTGTGCCCGATGCCGTGTTTCTCAAATCAAACCCGCAATTATAGGCGTACCACAGACACAAACCGCCAGTAATGGGCGTAGAATACGCACCAAATAGAGACTTTACCGGCAGCATCTGCAAACGGGCGTAGTCAACGTAGTTCCTAGCTACAAATGGGCGCAGATGGCGCTCAAATCAGTCATCAAAATGCATGTCGCCAAAAACGCTGGCGTAGCCGCTCTCAGGCTTCTCTCTGCCTTAACTGGTTGACAACAATTTTATCTCACATGTGAATTGATATTTATTACACGTCTTGTGTATACGGAATGTTTTATATTTTCTAAATTTTATTTAGTTTACATACTTTAGTGTTTCTCGTAAGAACTGAGGGACAAGAACTAGATATACAGGAATTATTACAATGGTAAGAGAACATTACTTTTACTGACTACATTTGAAATAAATTGGAGAACATACTTGACTTTAAGATTACGAATGCGTGATTATGTATATATATTTTGTTTTGTGTAATCCTTTAAATATATTTTATCTTGTTTCTATAATGTAGTCTATTAGAGAAATGATTATCTCTTACAGGGAAAAAATAAACGAACGCGTAAAGTAGTAACGCAAAGATTTGCTCAGATGAAGAAAATGATCAGTTTAAGCGATTCACGAATGTAAGTATATGTCAATATATTTTATTTCCAATGTAATGTTAATATTAATGTAATGTAATGTTAATTGTTCATAAATAATATATAACAATAAAAATGGTTATATTTTCTGTTGTAGAAAACCAGAAAGACGTCTGCCATCGAAGAAAACCCCAAAAGAAGATAAAGCTAAAATGAAAATCACAGAAGTGTAAGTAAAATAAGATATTTAGATGAATGAAGAATTCAATAGTTTATCTTATTTGTTAATCTTATTAGTTAATCTTATTTGTAATAGAAGTACTTTTGTATATGATGTTTTATAAAAATTTTTTAAAAATTTATCATGGAATATACTCCTGTATCTTGAAATCGGACTAAGATATCTTATATTTTCAGACCACAACAATCTTCAGCATTATTTTTCCAATATAACACACAACTTGGTCCACCGTATCACATTTTGATTGATACCAATTTTATTAATTTTTCTATTAAAAACAAATTGGATATCATACAAAATATGATGGAATGTCTATATGCAAAGTGTGTACCATATATAACAGACTGTGTGATGGGTGAGTTGGAGAAGCTTGGACAAAAGTATAAATTAGCATTGAAGATTATCAAGGACCCACGATTTGAACGATTACCCTGTATACATAAAGGAACGTACGCTGATGATTGTCTCGTGAATAGAGTTACACAAGTATGATCAAGTATTTTATAACACCAAGTATTTTATAACACCTATTAAAATATGTTTTTGCTTGTATGTAATATGATGCAGATTTGATCTTAATGATTTTACAAAGAAGCAGAAATGCTAGACTATATTATATTATTATTTCAGCACAAATGTTATATTGTCGCGACTAATGACAAAGATCTGAAGCGAAGGATACGAAAGATACCAGGTGTGCCAATAATGTATGTATCTCAGCACAGGTACACGATAGAACGAATGCCGGACGCCTATGGTGCACCCAGGAAATAGACTTACTTTATAAAAATAAGTATTTTTATTGTGGGAACATACAGAAGTTTTTCTTGTAAATAAACCTTTGTATCATAATATCATTAATATTATTATTTCTATAAAAACATTTATTTTTAATAACATGGTATGCAATTTGCGTGCTTTTATTTCTTTCTGAAGATTGAAATTTCAAAAAAGAAGGATCTTATGCGCATTATTATCCGATATTAAAACCATATTCGAACTGGCAAACCTTTATAATCATACTTATCGGTAGAGTTACAGATCCTGTATTACCGCTCCCGGTCATAATTGAAGAATGCTGACATCTTTATAAAGAAAAGAAAGTTGAAATATCGACTTCAGATATTATCGAGGGAGCATATATTATTGAATTTACCGACGGAAGTCGCAACATCGTGAGGCATTATGGGTAACGAGTTCGAGTTTGGGAGATGAAGAGATCACTGGCCGTTTAATGGTGAAAAATATGTTTCCGAATCTTCGCACACGTTTTATTTCAAAGAGATTCCGCATGCCCAAAACATGCGATTGACACGAGATCGGAATGGGAATAGTCATGGTGCTGCTACTTGCATCTTCACAAACGAGCGCGAAGGTAAGGTCGCAAAGTTTTCGTATCAATATCTTTTCCATACTGTAATGTTGGAAATTAATTTAGTCTAATTGGGATTGTCATTACTACAAGGATGCATATGATGCATAATATAATACGTTGCATCACGTTCTTCTCAATCACGACACATCGTATACCGCAATTTTCGGGGTTAGGTTAGGTTAGTGAAACGAGATACAAATATGGATTAATATAATTGATGTTTTTGGCATGCGGTGTCTCGGCTTTTGTATATCCGTATAAATGTCGAGATATCTTCGTACTTGTCCCTCTCTTCCTCGCTCGTTGCCACTATCGGGTCGTGACCTTTCTAATATCGCGGAACAACAAATGGCGTACGGACCGCGCGCGTTACCACCGTGGAACGTGGGACATTAATCATGCGCTCGCGCGCGAACGATTCAACGTCCTGTTGCATCCGTCGTCGAGAGACAAGTCCTCAAGTCAGACTTCGATTCGTCTCTTTGTTTTACTTAACGAACCGTTCAGATTTCATTATTCGCACCGACAAATGTGTATACTTACAATGTATTATTATTATTATTATTATTATTATCATCATCAGTTGTAATTATATTTTTTCATTATGCAGAGATAAGGCGATGTCTTACATGATTATGCATCTACGAGCACACTTTATGCCGTGATTCATCTCGTACGAAAAAGTGAGTTTAAATGCATTGTCGCCTATTATCACCACAATTTTCTCTAGTTTCGACCGATTTTCCAGGTCGAAGCAGCGACCTATCCATTTCTCCCGATATTATTCAGTAGATAAAAACTTCACTCCTCAGGGTGAAAACTCTTGTCAAAAGTATACTCATACTTGTGCTCATCTGAACCCACATAAGGTGAATCGACTCGAAATGATCTGTTGCCTAATCGGTGAGGCTCAACATGAAGCAACCATGGCGAAGATTGGTAGCTGCTGGAGGATGAGGACCTGCGCGACGGAGAAAACGATGGGAAAAGGTTTGTTTCGCGTTCGTAAATCGGTGGGCTTATCAAAGGGCGAACCGATGTACGTAGCATACTCATTCATACAGCATCATACCCAGTAAACTAGATTAAAGGAAACCAACGGTTGAACAGGCGAACGAGCGAGCGAGCGAATGAACGAGAGAACGAGCGAACGAACAAGCTGCGTGCGTACGTAGGAGAGAAGAAGAGGAAAAGAGAGAAGGCGAGAAGCAGAACGAAACGGTGAGCATAGTTCGTAGGTAGAAGACCGAGAAGATCGAGCGGAACGCTCGATTGCGGTAACGGATTAGTTATAAAAGTGGCGTAGAGCCGCGGATACGTATCTACAGCGCCCGGATAGGTCCGGAGGACCCCGGGAGTGGACCCTCGCCCACTCTCCCTCCTCGTCCCTTTACCATCGCCGCGCTTCTCCGCGTGGCAGCCTGCACCCCCTGCTCGCCCTTCCAGGTATTTCCCCTCCTCCCCCACGCATTATTCATCTCTTGTTCTCCGTCCTCGTCATCCCTTTTCTCGTCGGTCCTCGGTATCACTCTAGCTGCCTCCTTCTCTCTATCTCTTTTCTTCGTTCTTTTGCTTTCTCCTCCTCCTTCTCTCACCAACTTGTCGCTCTCCCCCCTCCCCCCATCTCTCTCTCTCTCTCTCTCTCTCTCTCTCTCTCTCTCTGTCTCTCTGTCTCTCTGTCTCTCATCGCGTCTTCCTCACTCCCGTCAAAGCAAAGCAACGTCCTCGTCGCGTCGAGGCTCCAGCACACGGCGGCCATCTTGCATACCTGAGCCTCCGCATTGCTCGTTCCTCGAGGGCAAAAGGGAGAATATCTCAGCGAGACGACGGCGGGATGCGCGAGGCGAGTAGAAGGTGGAAGGATCGCGCGTGGAAGATGGCGGAGAGGGAAGGCTGAAGAGGCCAGTCGGCGGGAGAGGTGAGGTGAGAGTGGAGGGAGGTAGGAGAATGAGGCCCCGGTTGAGACAGCGGGCCTCGACGAAGAGCAAGTGCGAAGGAGAGACTATCCCTCTGTGTGACGGACAAAGAGGCCATGTATACCGATAGGTATACGTTATACCAATAGGTATAAACGAACAGATAGGCGAGAAAGGGAACGGGTAGGAGGGAGGAGGAGGGAGATGGGAAAGAGTACCATGTAGTAAGAGCGAGAGAAATGAGCGTTAGAAGAAGGAAAGAGCGACGAAGACAAGAGGTCGAACGTTTCTTGACACGAAAGAGGGGGCAAGGGGGACAGAGAGAGAGAGAGAGAGAGAGAGAGAGAGAGAGAGAGAGAGAGAGAGAGAAGGAGGAGAGGGAGCGATATCGGTAAAAGAGCGAGTGGGACTTACGTGGACAGAGAAAGAGAGAGATAGATTGCTACAGTCACGATGTCTCTCGGAGCGGACAGAGAAGGTGGTATCGGTGGGTCTCGTGCGGGGTTGCAAGGGAGAAGGCAGCAGTAGAAAGAGAGAGAGAGAGAGAGAGAGAGCGTGAGAGGGAGAGGGAGGGAGGGAGAAAGAGCGAACGGGGGAGTCGCGTGCGAGAGGAGGAGAACGCGAAGCAGCACGTTGGGGCCCGATGGATCAGAGAGGGACGGCATCAGCCAGCCCGAAGAATGCCTCTCCCGGCAGCGGCGAAGTTCTGAGACCGGCTTGGTTCAGTCGAGTCAGATCAGTCCTTGGGAAGGCGATTTTCTCTCCGCGGTGCGCGTTCTTTCGGTGGGCCTTACGTCGTCGCGCTTATTCGGCCCCGTTTTCACCTCTCGCTCCCCTTTTCCTATTCCCCTTCCGCACCCTTCACCTTGTCCTTCACCCTGTTTGTTTGACACTTTGCGCGTGCTTATCGTCATCCCTCGGATAACGTTTAACCCCGAGGCGAGAGTGAGTGAGTGAGAGAGCGAGAGAGGGAGAACGTGAGGAAGATTGAGAGAGAGAGAGAGAGAGAGAGAGAGAGAGAGAGAGAGAGAGAGAGAGACAGCGCGCGCGCGCTAGCGAACCCGTTGTTGCGCTCTCGTGAGATTGCTCCCCGCGATCGGCGAACTCGAGCATCGCGATCGCGTGAACTTCCTGACGATTTTCGCGAGAGATACCGCGAGTCCGGCGAGCGCGCGAACTCGAAGGGTGAATTCGAGATCGTCTCTTTCTCTCGGTTATTAACCCGTTCGATCTCGCTGTTCGGATCAAATCGGTACCGCCGCGGGCGGTATTCACGCGTGTGCGTATGCGTATGCGTCGTCGTAAACCGTGTTCTTGTGCTTCGAGCATCGCAACCCTTTACCCCTTCGCGTTTCTGTGCAGTGTTTATATCGTCCGTCCTATTTCGGGTCAGTGATAATAATAAAGCCGTGGATTCTGAAGGATCTGAGTGCTTCTCGCGATAGCGACCTCGCGGGTCGTGCCGAGTGTCGTCACGTCTTCTTCGTCGCTAGTGCACGCCGTAGGATTTGTAGTTGTGCTATTCGTCGTGAAAAGCAAAAGAGAAAAACATCGTTCCGCGATATGACAGAGCGTAGGGGGCGAGAGCCCCGAAGCACGTGACGTAGGAATGCCTGCGGCGGAGAGGCCAGAAGAGGAGAGCAGCAACAGCGGCAGCGGGTGAAGGATTTCGTCGTGGAATCCCGTTTTCGGGAAAGTGGCAGGCACCATCTGGTCGGAATCGAGCCTATAATCGGAGGAAAAGCCCGAAGAAACGTCCGGCGTATCTCGCATGAGCATCCGCAGACGCGTTTCGCGAGGCGCGGCTCTCGGCGGGTCACTGCCCTCTCTGTCGGGTGAAGTCTCCTCTCGTGTACACTTGACTTTCAGCGGCGAGGGAAAGGAGGAGAGAAGGAGGAAAGAACGAGGAGAGATAAGAGGAGAGAACGAGAGAAAAAGAGAAACGGATACAGAGGGAAGAAAGAGGAGGAGGAGGAGAAGGAGGAGGAGGAGGAGGAGGAGAGAGGGGGAGAGAGAGAGAGAGAGAGAGAGAGAGAGAGAGAGAGAGAGAGAGAGACGGAAAAGAAAGCACGCACCTTCGGGTGCGCGGGTTTAAATCGGGATCCTGGTCCAGGTGGGGAAAAAAAATGCGACGCGTCGGGCAAGCAACGATTCACGTTGTCGCGCGCGCGATTAATCTCCATCCTTAGAATGTCGCGTGTACAATGCGCCGGTACTACGTAGACGTGAAGGACGAGATTATCAGCGGACACCATGAGGAGGAAGAACGACAGGTAGTACGTATGCGGAGCGCGCATTTTTATGCCGACGAGTCATAGAGGATTTTGGCTTAGGCAGGTGGGCGTGTCGCGGGACAAGAAGAGATGATCATAAGGAGATCGATGGTCCTAGCCCTGCTCCTGGGACTCCTGTCGGTGGAGCAAAATGGCGGCCAGGTCGCCGATGGCGACCTGGAGCAACTCACGGCATTCGAGGGTTACACGCAGACGCGCAGACCGTCCGAAGCAAGCAAGCTGCTACGAAATGTCAAGTCTTTGGATGCCGCGATGGATGCTATGCAGAGCCGAGCGGTCGACACGAGGGTGCAAATGGAGGTCAAAGAGGGTGTACCCAAAGGAACCATTATCGGTCAAATACCTACCAAACCCACCTTCACGTACAGATTCAATGAGCCACCGCAGGAGTTCGTGCTCAATTCGGTTACCGGCTACATAAGTACAGCTCGGGTGATCGATCGAGAGGCACTCAGCAGCGATCGCTTCGACCTGGTCGTGCTCTCGAGCCAGCCTACTTACCCGATCGAGGTGCGGATCTCGGTGTTGGACATCAACGACAACAATCCGGAATTTCCCGAGCCTAGCATCGCGGTGAGCTTCTCGGAGTCCGCCGTAGCGGGCACTAAGCTGCTGTTAGACGCTGCAATGGACAAGGATACGCCGGAGAATGGCGTCTTGGACGACTATTATATCGTGGATGGCAATACGGACGGGAAGTTTCGTCTTCAGGTCACTGACAATCCCACCGGCGAGACCTCGTACCTCCATCTGGAGACCACGGGCAAACTGGACCGCGAGCAGGTGGAGTACTACTCGCTGAACATCTGCGCTCGCGATCGCGGCCAACCACCGCGACTTGGCTACCTGCTGGTGAACGTGACGGTGTTGGACGTGAACGACAATCCTCCAGTTTTCCAGCAGAGCGATTACGTCGTATCGTTGAACGAGAGTGCACCGATTGGCACGAAGGTACTCGCAGTACACGCCACCGATAAAGACTCGGAGGACAACTCGAAGTTGACGTATTACCTGCCGGACAACGAGCGAAAGTTCACCATAGACCCGGAAACAGGCACGATCACCACCGCCGAACCGCTCAAGTGTCCCGAGCAGGTGTGCACCGTGTCTCGCCCGGGTGGTGGCTGCCCCAAGAGTTGCGTCATAACGGTCTTCGCTCGCGATCACGGCTCACCTAGACAAGACGGTCGTACATACGTAACGGTGAACCTGCTGGACGCGAACGATCATGCACCTGAGATCAAGTTCACCTTCTTCCCGACGAATGCGGGTCTTCCTTACGCCACCGTCGACGAGAATGCCGCTAACGACTCGATCGTGGCGGCGGTCGCGGTTGTGGATGTCGACGAGGGCTTGAACGGCGAGACCACTGTGGAGATACGCGCTGGTAACGAGCTCGGTCACTTCCGGCTGGAGAACGCGGTTCCCTTCGACATCGTACATGCCGACGGTCGGCTGGACCGCGAAGAGATCCCCAAGTATAACCTGACGATAGTCGCCACCGACAAAGGTACACCGTCTAGATCCACCACGGCGTATCTCGTGATCCACGTGAACGACGTCAACGACCACGAACCGGTGTTCCAGCGGAGCGAGTATTCGGCGGTGCTGTCGGAGCTGTCGCCGATCGGCAGCTTTGTCGCCAGCATCTCGGCCACGGACGCTGATTCCGGAGTGAACGCGAAGATCCACTACGAGTTCGCCAAGGGCAACGAGCAACATTGGTTCGCCATCGACGGCAACACCGGCCTGGTCACCACCGTGGCTACCTTGGACCGCGAGGTCAAAGGCAGTATCGAGCTGCACGTGTCAGCTTGGGACGGCGGGCCTAATCCCAAGTACGCGCACACGCATCTGAAGGTCACTATCCTCGACGAGAACGACGAAGCGCCGAGCTTCTCCCAGAGCATGATCAATGTCACTCTGCCGGAAAACACACCTCCGAACAGCCTAGTGGCCACTGTTACGGCCGTGGACAACGATCAGGGTACCAACGGTAGCATCGCGTACAGTTTCCACCCTAGCGTCGCACGCGATTATCCCAACACCTTCGCGTTGGACGTCCTCACCGGTCAGCTAACGACCAAGACCGACCTCGACCGAGAGACCATAGCGGAGTATCGGATCTTGGTGATAGCCAGAGATCAAGGCATACCCGTGCAATCGTCGACCGCCACTGTGGTGTTGACAGTGGACGACGTGAACGACAACTCGCCTATCTTTTACCCCTGGCGATACCTGATGCCCATCCCTCCAGATGCTGCCCCGGGTACTGTACTGGGCAAGGTGACGGCAAACGACGCTGACGCCAGGAAGAATGCGCAAGTGAAGTACTTCTTGCAGTACGGCGGTGAGGGTCTCTTCGCGGTCGACGAGAGAACAGGCGAGATTATTCTTCAGAGTTCTTTCAGGCTCGTGCACAAGATCTTGTACGAATTAAACGTCTCAGCGAAGGATATCGGCGATCGAACGGCGCTAAAAGGCGCCATCGTGGAGATCATTCGCAAGGATGACCTGGAGCTCGTTGAGTTCGAAAACTACAACGGCTACGAGTTCAAAGTTTCCGAAGATAGAGGCGACTGCACCTCCATGCCCACCGGATTCGGCAGGGAGATCGGCAGGGTGCACACTTTACAATATAGCAGCGCTAAGGTGAACTACGCGATCGTGTACGGCGACCCCAAGGGCAACTTCAAGATCGACCACAACACCGGCGCCATCAGCACCGCCGGCTGCTTGGATCGCGAGCAAGAGGCTTTCTATAGGCTGCATTTGTCAGCGCGCTCCAATCTCGCGTACGGTCAGACGGTCGTAAACATCACCGTTGAAGACGTCAACGACAATCCGCCGAGGTTTGCCAAAGGCGAGCAAGAAGACGAAATCTTTCTGAATGAGAACGCAGCGGTCGGTCAGGAAGTGTGTTTGACACGTGCTAGAGACTGGGACTCTGGTGTTAACGCTAGGATCGTTTACTCCTTGACGCATAATCCTGGCAAGCAGTTCAGAGTCAACGAGAATTCTGGTATCATATATCTGGGCAAACCGATCAAAGCGCCACCCGGCACGGTTCTCCATCTAGAGGTGACGGCGACCGATACCGGTCGTCTGCCATTATCAGCTCAGTATCAAGTCCGAGTGACGATCCAGGACGTGAACGACCACACGCCGGTCTTCAAGTTGACCAGCTACGAGACGTCGTTACCCGAGTCCACGCCGGTGAACGAAGATTTCTTCTCGTTGACGGCCATCGATTCGGATTTCGGTGCCAACGGTCAAGTGTTCTACAGCGTGACTGACGGCAACGCCGAGGGTCGCTTTGGAATTTTCCCGGATGGCAAGCTGTACGTGAAGCAGGAGCTCGACCGCGAGCAGCAGGATTACTACGCTCTCGAGGTCACCGCCTCCGATCAAGGTCAACCACCTCGGAGTTCCGTGGTGCCGATGGTGGTGCATATAATCGATGAGAACGACAACGCGCCGGAGTTCATCAACAGCAGCTTCAGCTTCCATCTACGTGAGAACGAGCCACCGGACACTTTTGTCGGCAAACTGCTCGCAACCGACCGCGACGTCGGTCGCAACGCCGATCTGATATTCTCACTGCCATCGAGTCAGCAAGACTTCATCGTCGACCCGAAGAACGGCTTCATCAAGTCGCTGCGCGTGTTCGATCGGGAGCTGCTGATGAGCAACACGGGCGACAGCTCCATCACCTTGGAGGTCACCGTCACCGACAACGGCGTCAATCGTCTGCGTGACCGCGCCAAAGTCACCATCTACATCACCGACGTGAACGACAATGTGCCGCAGTTCCAGCGGTTACCCTACCGCGTCTCGGTGAGCGAAGGCGCCATTATCGGCACGCAACTGCTGCGGGTGTACACCACCGACGCGGACGAGGGACTCAACGGCGACGTGTTCTATTCGCTGGAGAACGGAAATCAGCACGGTCACTTCATGATCGACGAAGCGACCGGACAAATCTCGCTGGTGAAGGAACTCGACCGTGAGACCTTCGACAGCTACGTACTGACCGTCGTGGCGCACGACGCCGGTCTGGAGACTCGGCTGTCGTCCAGCGCGACCGTCCACGTCGAGGTGCTCGACGAGAACGACAACGTGCCACGCTTCGTCGACAACAGGCCGAAGATCGCCGTGTTGGAGACCGCGCCGATCAACACCGAGTTGCTGAGATTCAAGGCCACCGACAACGATCTCGGACTCAACAGCGAGCTGTCGTTCGCGATATCAGCCGGTAACAGGAAAGACACGTTCTACATCGATCCGCTGTCCGGCACGTTGTACCTGAGGAAGCCGCTCGATTACGAGGAGCTGATGCGATACACGCTGAACGTCACCTGCAGCGACGGTGGCCATCCCAGGCTCAGCTCGGTCACCAGTCTGATCGTCGAGGTGATCGACGCCAACGACAATCCACCGGTGTTCCCGAACACCGCGATAGTGCGTCAGATACGCGAAGGTATCCTCGTGCGCACACCGATCGTTACCATCACCGCCGAAGACCCGGACTCGGGCGAGAACGGGGTCGTCAGCTACTCGATCCTGAGCCAAGACCCGGAGGACGAAGTGCGACGCTTCGGCATCAATCCCTCGACCGGTGTGATCCACACGCTGCAGCCGATCGACCGCGAGGAGGTGGATGCTTTCAAGCTGATGGTGGTCGCCACCGACCAGGCAGAGCCACCGAGTGCACGACTGTCCGCCGAGAAGCAGGTGATCGTCATCGTCGAGGACATCAACGACAACGCGCCGATCTTCGTCAGCATGTCGGCGGTGGTGTTGCCGAAATACGTTGGCAATCCGAAGTACCCCCAGCACTACCTACAGCATCAGTCCTCCGAAGAGATCATGGTGACTCGTCTGTTCGCCCGCGACCTCGACTCCAGCACCAACGGCCTGGTAACGTACGAGCTGCTGCGCTCAAGCGGCAACTACTCCGACATGTTCCGCATCCACCGCAACTCCGGCGACCTCATCATGAGACCCCCTTACTCGTTCGGGAAAATCGCTCACCACCCGGAGCGCGTGTTCAAGTACCAGGTAGGCGTGCGAGCGACCGACGAAGCGGTCCAAGCGGAGCGTCGCTCGTCGGAGACCTACGTGACCTTGATCGTGCCGAGCGAGGACGGCGACGATCAGCCGGTGTGGGAGCACCGAGGTCAGATCGAAGGCAGTGTGTACGAAAACGAGCCGGTGGGCACCAGCATTCTGCGGGTGAGCGCGCGCCCCCGCCGCTCTTCCTCCAACCTCGAGCTCGAGTATTACGTGACGAACGTGACCGCCGGCGGCAGCGGCATCCAGGTCGACCGGCTCTTCGACGTCGACACGAAGACGGGCGTGCTGTCCACCGCGGAGGCGCTCGATCGGGAAACCAACGCGCAGTGGTACGAGGTGGAGCTGTACGCCATCGGCCTCGGCGGCAGCAGGCCCAGTACGACGTCCACTAAAGTGAGTTCTACGTCTTTTGATTGATCGTCCTGGTGATATTAATGATGCGTCGGCTCCTGAAAGATATTCGGTGCTTTTTGTCCGCCGAGCGCGAGCGTTCTCCTTCTTCTCTCCTCTCCTCTCTTCTCCTCTCCTCTCCTCTCCTCTCCTCTCCTCTTCTCTCCTCTTCTCTCCTTCGACGCCACTCCCGTCCCGCGTGCCCCTCTCGCGCGCGCTCGCGCGCACGCCTCGCGTAATGTAATTTCTCGATTGCCGGATAAGACCGCGAACTCGTTCGCTCGTTCGTTCGTTCGTTCGTTCGTTCGTTCGTTCGTTCGTTCGTTCGTTCGTTCGTTCGTTCGTTCGTTCGTTCGTTCGTTCGTTCGTTCGTTCGTTCGTTCGTTCGTTCGTTCGTTCGTTCGTTCGTTCGTTCGTTCGTTCGTTCGTTCGTTCGTTCGTTCGTTCGTTCGTTCGTTCGTTCGTTCGTTCGTTCGTTGTTTCGTTCGTTCGTTCGTTCGTTCGTTCGTTCGTTCGTTCGTTCGTTCGTTCGTTCGTTCGTTCGTTCGTTCGTTCGTTCGTTCGTTCGTTCGTTCGTTCGTTCGTTCGTTCGTTCGTTCGTTCGTTCGTTCGTTCGTTCGTTCGTTCGTTCGTTCGTTCGTTCGTTCGTTCGTTCGTTCGTTCGTTCGTTCGTTCGTTCGTTCGTTTCGTTCGTTCGTTCGTTCGTTCGTTCGTTCGTTCGTTCGTTCGTTCGTTCGTTCGTTCGTTCGTTCGTTGTTCGTTCGTTCGTTCGTTCGTTCGTTCGTTCGTTCGTTCGTTCGTTCGTTTCGTTCGTTCGTTCGTTCGTTCGTTCGTTCGTTCGTTCGTTCGTTCGTTCGTTCGTTCGTTCGTTCGTTCGTTCGTTCGTTCGTTCGTTCGTTCGTTCGTTCGTTGTTCGTTCGTTCGTTCGTTCGTTCGTTCGTTCGTTCGTTCGTTCGTTCGTTCGTTCGTTCGTTCGTTCGTTCGTTCGTTCGTTCGTTCGTTTCGTTCGTTCGTTCGTTCGTTCGTTCGTTCGTTCGTTCGTTCGTTCGTTCGTTCGTTCGTTCGTTCGTTCGTTCGTTCGTTCGTTCGTTCGTTCGTTCGTTCGTGCCTTTCTTTGGTCAGGTTGTCATCTAGCGAGCGAGCGAGCGAACGAGAAAGGGGGATAGAGAGCGAGAGATTCAGCGAGAATATTTTAATTGCCGAAACGTCGAAAGGTATCGCGCGGCGAATTACAGTTAGACACTTGGCGCCAGAATGACGGAGCTGCTTTTTTATTTACGGACAATCGATGCGGCTTTATTCCGACGCGAGTCGGAAAGCGCAAAGGAACAAAAACGGGAATGATAATGATAGTTATTAAAACATGCGATATATGCGCTAAATATTTTCGTCGAAGCGGAATCATCATTATCTGCCGCTTAATGACTGTTATTGTCGCGTTCGATGCATGACGAGAGAAATCCGCGATTAGAACGACGCGCAATTTCGAGGGTTGCTGTCGATTTTTCTTCACGCAAAAGGCAGACGCAAAGCCGATCTTTGCTCGCGCAGCACCTGTCGCATTTCCGTCGCTGTCGTAACGAAGCGAACCGCGGACGGATTTATAGAATACAGGTAATAATTTTACACGTGTGATTAATTGTCCGAGAGATACTAATGATGCATTGGGCTCTGAAAAGGACTTTTTATTAAGTGGGCGCGCATACGCCGTACATGTAATTCCCGAGGAAGTCGATGGAATCCATTCTCCTTATCCAAATATTGACGTTACCGCCGAAATACAAGTATTATAATTATTTAATTAAACGCTCGCGCGCGCGCGCGCGCGCGGCTCGCCTTTCAATCAGTTTCTCGCCACGCCATTTTTTTTTCGCGAGAGCGAAACGCCTTGATGCACCGCAATAATAATTTATCCGATTCAATCGCTGAGAGACGTCATTTGAATTTTATTTGCGCTAAAAAAAAAATCTCTATCGCCGAAACATCAAACGGCAAGTAATGAGCAACATTGATAATGCGATAATAATTTATCCGATTCAATCGCTGAGAGACTTCATTTGAATTTTATTTGCGTTAAAAAAAATCTTTATCGCCGAAACACACCAAACGGCAAGTAATGAGCAACACGGGACTGATAAAACGAGACTCACGGCTTCCTACAGATTTTGATTCTCGCGTGTCGCGTAGGCGACGACGTGGGAAATCTGATGGATCGCGTATAATACGCGCGAGAAACGCGCGTTATGCGTGTAATACGCGCCGAAGGAATCGGACAACTTTCCACATTTTACCCTGATTTGAATCTTATTTACGATCGTCTCTCTTTCTCTCTCTCTCTCTCTCTCTCTCTCTCTCTCTCTCTTTCTCTCTCGACACTATAAGCGGCACTCACTAATTTCTCCTTCTCACTCTCGATGACACAATAATTAGGGCGGCAACGTACGTGCCGCGTGTCTCTTGCTCGGCAGACGCGATAATTCGTTCGGCTGAGAATTACGTTACGCAACAATACCCTTAATGTAATTAGAGTCGGCGATAGAGAGATGAAAGAGACGAAGTGGGCAGAGAAGGAGAGGCAGCGAGAGAGAGAGAGAGAGAGAGAGAGGGGGGATGAGGGAGGTTACGGGGGAGAGAGCGAGGGAGAGGTTACGGGGAGAGAGAGCAACAAGAAGAGGAATCTCTAGAGATGAGGCGCGATGGGTGGAAGGACAACGCGCGCGGGGAGAAAGACGAGCCTTCGTAGTAGGGAGAGAAAGGATGCGGAGGAGGGAGATCGTGAATACGAACGGTTTACAGCCGGTTCAGTGCTGCATAAATAGGGCTTAGGACCCGGGACGTTTCGTCAAATTACAGGGCGCGTTTCAAATTTATACGAAAGCGCCGCGCGTCATGCCGTCACCGCTGTCTCGTCCTGTTTTATTAGAGCGCACCGTATATCCTAATTAATTCGCGCTTTTTACTCCGTGCTTACGCAAAATCTTTCGCGACTCGTCGCTGCGACGAGTATTGCATAATTTAGATATTGCTGATTTTCGCAAAATATTCCCAGGCGAATCTGGGTTCTTGAACTCGTTACCACGACGGGGGATACACCCGGAGGTCAGTACCACGAAGTTTCGACGCAGGTACAACGAGGACGTCATGCTCCCCTTTTCTCTCCTCCAAGCTGTCCCTTTAAAATCCTCCTTTCTCCATTCACTAAATCACAGTCAACATGTCAACAAACCCAACCGCGTTCCATCTGGCGTCTTGCGTGAATTCGCGGTCGGAAAATCCTCGAAGAGCACCTCGGTCGACGATCCGACTCCGAGATGTACGAGGTTTGATCAAAAAGTAAGGAGAATTTTTAATTTTCTCGGAAAGTATTTATTTAATCTTCAATGTTTATCCCATCTCCTTCAAAGTAGTCCCCCTGTGTTATATTATACACTTATGCCAACGTAGTTTCCAGTTTGAGAAACACTGGTGGAACGCCTCTTTAGGTATCGTCTTGAACTGGATCTGCGATTTCGCCTTTATCTCATCTCATCTATTGTTGAAAAACGTTGTCCTTTGAGTGTCCTTTTGAGCTTGGGAAATAGGAAAAAGTCACAGGGGGGGACCATGTCTGGAGAGTAAGGTGGTTTTGCGATGGTTACGCGATGCTGTTTTTGTTGAAAATTCAGCAGTTTTGGAACAAATTTTGCTGCCACTCGTTTCATGTTCAAAACATTAGTAAAAATCGCTTCGCATGAGCTGTATGAAATTCCTATTTCTTCAGCAACCTCTCGAATGGTGATTCTTCTATCACCAAGCACAATCTCTTTAACTTCTTCCACGTTTTTATCACTGGTGGACGTGCTAGGACGCCCAGACCTCGCCAGTCATCTTCGATGTCTTCTCGACCTTCCCGAAAGCGTTTGTGCCATTCATAAACTCGTGGTTGTGACGTAGTATCGCTGCCAAAGGGTTTCTTTAACATTTTGAACGCTTCGCTTCGCTTAATTCCGTTTTTAACGCAATATTTCAGACAAACTCTCTGATCCGACTGATTTCGCCACACACAAAAATTCGCCAAACGCAAACTGAGCGTCGCAGCTGCCTGAAAATTGACACGTACGTCACTGGTAGTGCTACCAACACACGAAAAGAGCATCAACTGAATAGACAAGATATCAGCGCGCGCAGTTTCAAAATTCTCGTTACTTTTTGATCAAAGCTCGTATGTCGCGCGATGTCCAGACCTGCGCCGCGGATTCGGGAAAGACGGGCGAGCGAGGAAGAGACGAGCAAGCAGGGGATGACGATCGAACGAAAGAGAAGACGGTGAGCGAGAGATGAGGAAGAGAGGAGGCGGTATGGCAAAGTGGAAGAGAATAAACGACAAGATGAACCGCGTGCCAGGAAATCAACTCGGATTCGAGTTTGGCCTGGCTCCTGGCCTGGCCCTCGCTCTCCCGGAGGTTCGAGGACTCGAGAAAAACTTGATCTCGAACGAGCGAACGGGCGCATACAGGCGCAGCAACAGCCCTTACTTACCTCCACGCTCGCGCACGCTTCGGAGGCAACGCGTCGAGAGGCGAAGTGCGCAGTTGGTCCCGTCTCTTCCACCCCTGATGCGCGCGGCTTCGAGCACCTGAAGATGCTCTCCTCCGTCTCTCTCGCGGCTGCTTCTTCCGCCCCGTCTCTCTATTCTGTCTTTGAGACCCTCCGCGATTTAAATTTAGCTTTGCTCTCCTCAGGTAGTTCACCTTTCGCGAAAAGCCGAGAAAGTAGTTCGCGCAGCTACTCGACCTACCCTCTCCAATGTGCATTTAGATGATAGATATGTTTGTGGATAAATGTAATTATTAAGAGAGAATTCACGGGAATGTCCATTACCGCATTACGGTGGGCGAGTAATTCCGGAATGTTTTATCGGGAAACGTAGCGCGGAAGATTTTGCGATTCCTCGCTCTTGGGAAAAGCCAATCTTAAGTTACGTGGCAAATAACATCTCGCTCCCCCCCCTCTCTCTCTCTCTC